GAAGTATAAGCGTGTCCTTGTTTTCATATTCATAATGATTACCTTATACTCGCGAGGATATGGTCCAAGAAGAAGTAAAGGGTTGAATGGTATTTGTATCTTGAGCGACATGTCCTGACTTGTTCCAGCTTGTAGTTGACGTGGGAGTTCGTTCACTCAGCATCACTAACAGTTGTACTCCAGAGCTTACACAGACCGTTCCGTATTTTTACTGGATACAGTTTTTTATCAAATTAATAAGCATGTCATCCTCAAGTGATGAGGAAACTATAGAAAATAATGGCAACGACCTGCAGTTCATCGCAGATAAAGTTGAGTCATAAGGCATGTCTCAATACCATAACCGTCATCGCCAAGTAGTACAACATTTGCTTCAAATGATTATAAATACCATCTGGAGTATTTCCTTCAAAATTTGCATGTACAAGGATATCCTTTGTTTTATGAATACGGCTCAATGCCTTCTTACAACGGCAAGAGCTTGCATGCAACGATCTTGCGAACTGTAAAGCGCTTTTAACAAGCACACCTTTCTGTGGCAGCCAGTTTGTACCCCTGACGTACGCCAATGAAACTGCACTGCGCAGGATGTATGTACGAAGGCTCGGAGCTTAATGATTTGTCTTGTGGGCGAGTGGAAAGTAGTATGTTTTAGAACCCATATTTCGTACCACATATCTCCAACAAAACCGAATTCGCAGGAGGATGATATACTCTTAACTGGGGACCAGATTCGCTATACCGGTGAGAGGTTCTGATAGGCTGGTAAACAGACACCAAAAAAGCGTGGAGCCATGTGCTGGGTTGGCGGAAAAGTTTTGTGACATTTGAAATGAAAAGTTAACTAAAAATGAAGAAAAACATGAACTTTCCGCGCAATTCTGGACACATGAACTTTAAATCTTTTTTTTTTGACACCGAAGCAACCGCGTAGACAAAGCCTAAGTACTGGAGCACCGTTTTCGGGAGCTTAAAGAAACTTTGTTAATACGATCTTTGAACTGTCTAAGGCTTGTAGAATTGGCAGACACCCCCTCAGCCATATCATTCCACGGTCTGAATACCTTAGGGACAAAGGAGCGGTCGTACCGGCCAGTTCGGATGTACGAATTTCAACAGGCAGGCTCATCGCAAAGCGGAGAGCTTCGAGTAACAAAGTCCGTTGACATAGAGGGAGAAGAGAGTCATATCGCCGGCGGCCCGTCGATGCAAAAGAGTCCCGAGACTCTCCGTTAGAGAAAAGTCATCTGAACAGCATCGAGCATGAATGAACCCCAAACATGTGAGCAGTACTCGAGGCGGTGATCTGTACTCCGATCAGCCGAAATGTACTTTTGTATAAAATCAATGCGATATGTGTGCGATATTGTATCTAACAGATGAGCAAAACTACCGGGATCACGACGATGCGGCTTGTTAACCGTATTGCAACAAAAAAATGTACGCCTCGCGTTTGTGCAAAGCCAGGTATTGGCAACACTGGCAGTTCCAGTCTCTGTCGTTCCGCTTCTCTCACCATGCCGACGATGCCAATAAGTCATAAAATATGCACTTGACTCCTACATGTTCTCATCTTTGTCTGCGGTTTCTTTGTCACCAGCAGGCGACTGCAACCAAAGAGCACACACTAAAGAGAAGAAGAGTCACTGTTGATTAGACCTTTGAGGTTTTTTGTTTAACATTAGGCTGAATAAGATTTGTATGCTTTGGAATTGCAAAGAAGCTCTCGGTGGCATAGGCGAGGGACATGAAGTCCGTTTCATATGGATACCAGGACACACAGGTCTAGAGGGAAACGAGACAGCTGACACTCTGGCAAAGAGTGGGGCTAGCACACCCTTTATAGAGCCTGAGTCAGCGATTGGGATCGCATACAATACTGCTAAACAAATAATCTCTGCAGAGATGGACAGAAAGATCCATCAATACTGGGAAGGATTAGCAGGGTTAACCCATGCTGAGGCAACTATACCAATCTTGACAAAGACGGTAACAGACTCTTTGCTACGGCTGAACAGGAATAGCCTTAAAGCTCTAGTAGGACTGTACACTGGTCATTGCAAATTGCGTCACCACATGAGCAGGCTGGGCATGTCGGAAGACGCTAGGTGCAGACTGTGCATGGAGGGAGATGAAACGGTCAGGCATGTATTGTGCACATGCCCTGTAATTACCACAATCAGGTACAACATACTTGGAGACGTAGTACTCCAAGCAGAAGTCCTGAAGGATATTTCTCCAAACAAGTTCATCGACTTCCTTAGGAGGTCGGAGCTACTGGGGGAAATATAAATAGGTGTAAGCCACAAAAGACCAAAGAGTCGCAGTGGAGGATCGTTATTAATGCACTCACAATAAAACTAACCTAACCTATATAAGCAATAGCCCCCGATACCATAATTCCCACAGGGAGGTACCCAGGCGTTTCCATAGAAAATTGAAAATATGGTCACATGGTGCCTAGGAGTGGCAGGTAAGACAAATGGAGGCGGGTATGAAGTAAGTCAAAACTGTTGATCCGGGGATAATTAATTTGCATTGTAATAGGCTTTCCATGATCTCCAAACCACATGCAAAAAAGAGTGCTATTGATTCAAGAGCATGAGTTTCCATGAAATTATGATATTGATTCGAGATCACAGATACTGCAAATGAGGTAATTTCGTTGTTTTAAAGAAATATTGCACTTACAATTGAGAAATTGACCTTAATTCAAAGATATGTGTCTTAGAAACATATCTAAGTCACGGTTCCCCAATTGAAGATAGTTGATCTTAAACCAAGATCACTTTTTTGCGTGCATTGGTCGGCAATTGACAAGAAGCGGTCCCGTGGAGCCAAACGCCTAAAGCGGCGTTATTGGTGTGAAGCCGTTCTTCTCGAACTCTTGGTGTACGGCCTCCTTGATTCAATGTCTGACAAAAAACAACCGCCGTATTGTAATAAAAATACTAACCTAATATCATCGGGGACGGGACATCAAAAAATCTGCAAAACTTTGCTGCCACGGCACCCGATCTACTTTGGTCGGTGCATACTTCGAATTTCGGATACCGCAGGTATACGTTCAAACTCCTCACTGGAAGCTATTTTCACGGCGGAGTGTCGCTTCTTCTCTTTAGTGTGTATTATTTGCTGCAAGGCGCGTATAATCGCACACATGTGCGCTTCACGCCGGTTGACGCGTCCCTCTGTAGACAGGCGCACCCCCAGACGTCTGTGGGGGTATCCGGGATGCCAAATAACCCCCGGAAGGTGTCGCGCACCCTTCCTGTCGGCTGTTGCGGATGTGTCGCTTACCTGCTGCCCTACCAGAGCCGTGCATCTCCAACAAGGGAAGAGCATAGCACTGCAAAAGGCCATACGGATAGCCCAAATAAGACCTAGCTTCGAGTACAGCTCACATGTTTGGGGTGCTGCCGCCCAAACTACATTATCTATACTCGATGCTGTTCAGTCTAACTGACATTTTGGAACCCTTTTTCACCAAGTGGTCGTCGGCGATCTAGCTCTTTACTACCGCTATGTAAACGGATTCTTCGAACATCCAGAACTGGCCGGTATGACCGCTCCTTCGTCTCTAGGGTGGAACAATCTACCTGAGGAATTTATTCCATATCTGCTAAGCTTAGGCAGTTCAAAAATTGGATTAACAAAGTTTCTTTAAGAGGCCGCTTCGCATTTCTGAACAGAAAGCCCAGCTGTTCCAACGCTGTGCAATACCTAATTACGTGGACACTTCTCCTTCAATTCCACCAGTGCCAACAATTATTACAACCTGTACATGTATGACAAACACGGCCACTGATCGAGTTCAAGTGCTATTTGATTTTCTAGTCCGCGTTTAATTGTGTTGGGTCGTAAATAATAGACGATTTGATTACTGCATTCGCAATTTCAGAAATGTAGTATCGCACCAATAACAAATATTTGTTTGTCGGTTCAGTCGAATCCGCGGCATTACGCGCAATAGAAACAAAGAAGATTGATATAATATATAGCGCTTTGGTGACTGGTTGTTGAGTGATAAACGATATCATATATACCCAGTGACATTAGAAGTGTTATACCCAGAAAAAATAATTTCTTCAACAGACATACCGACAGATAGACCGACGAAAAGGGTGACATGATTTTTTCGTGATATATAACATCTAAAAAACATACAGGGTGGCGCATCGAAAACGAAACAGACGCATTTACTGGCAGCTCAGTTTTTTTTAAAAACGCTCAGACCCGTCGATTTTTTTTTCGAGGGGGACACAAGTTTGGCAAAAAATCACGTTAGCACGTGCAGCCCCCTAAGCGGGGGTGACACCACCCCCAAAATCTTAAATGGAAAGGGGGGTCGAGTGATACCTTATTTTAAAGGTCTTTCAATTCCCTTTATAATGATTTAAAATTAATGTACTTCAGTTCCGTAGTTTTGAAGATTTATTGATTTAAAGCTTAAATCAAACTAATACATCATCATTAGTGGAGATCAATACATTTGACAGCAAAGTAATTTAAAAATGAAGAATGAACTGTATATCATCAAAATTTGTCACACGTTTCGATATCCAATCATAAGCTGCAACGTAACAAATATTCTATCACCGTCAGAATATTGAAACCGATGCTCGATAGTTTTCAGGTACATCCCGAAACATGCGAATTTCTGCTTTGCAAATTTTGTGACAAATAAATAGTGGAAAATTCACCCAAAACGTGGCTAAAAAATAATTGGGGATACTTTCTGAAAAGCGCTTGTATATGCGTAGTTGACAGTTTTCCGCTAGCACCATTTTAATACGGATGGTGCCGCTGAAAAATTGAAATCCGGAAATCTGATCGCAATCATTATAGTTGCTGATTATCACAATTCCAGAGAAAAGGATTATCAAATTTATCTAAAAAACTAATCAAAACCCATTTGACAACAACAAATGATTTCATATGTATGTCTCATTAATTTGGATATTTAAACAATATTAGCATGGGAGTACTCATGAGGGGGGGCAGGAGGGGGCAGCTGTCCTTTCTTCCCTCCAGCTCGGTAAAAATTTAATTGTTCATGAACAGGCTTCTCCACAAGCTGAATCAATATCTATTAGATGAGAAAGTTGAAGTCTATGTTAGATATAAACTTAATTTTGTATCAAAGTATTGCAAACCACTAAATTATCAATTAAGAAAGCATCTCGTGCAATATTTGCATCAAGGTTTCAAAAAAGTAGTTTTCCATCCTCAAATCATCGTAGAAAACTCTTGTTGAATGGATGAGACAATAAAAATGGAATAGAAAATATCAAGCATAGGGAAGTAGATAATTTGTGAATCTTCCAACAAAAAAAATGTTGAAGCTGCCCCCTCCGTTTTGAGCTGGGTACGCCCTTGAATATTATTCATACTTGTCAGTTTCAGATTAAAATCTATCTCTGAGAGGTTATTTTCGATATAAAGAATTTTTTATCAATTTGGAAATGGAATTATAATCAATTATTTGAAAAACAATGCTTCATCACAAGGGTCAAATCGTTGTACATTTCCCTTTATAAAAAACGGATGATATAATAGAAAGCTTTACTATCTCGTATGAATTTATATAACAATGAAATATATTGTGGTACTAGTAGTTTGTTTCCTAGGAGCACAAGGTGAGTACTACTTACTCAGGGCAAGTGGGGCCTTCCTTAGCATTCTGCTAAAATGTTAAATACAAATAAAGATAATATACTATAATAAACTATGAATTCAAAAAATATATATCTTCTACATGTAATGCTAATAGCCAATCAAAATATGCAATAATGTAGTAAATTTTGACCCCTACGCCAATGACTCTTTTGAAACATTTGTTGTATTTTACTGGGCAAGGAAGTATTGTAATCGCGAAAAATTTCGAAAATGAGATATTATGTTTTTTGATGTTATGTGGCATGTACAAGACGAAAAGATGAAAGTGATTTCCATCTGTCTGTGTCCGGTAATCCTTGGCCCCCTATAACTTGGAAAGTACTACTCGGATTTGGATCAAATTTTTACACAAGGTTGCTACTACTCTAAGGACGAAAAGGCTTTGTAGTTTTTGACAACTGTTCCAGTGACAGCGGGAAAAGGACCGAAAACGAAAGAATAAATATCGCTCAAACGTTTTTTTACGTTCTGATGTAAAACTTCTTGCCAACAATGTTTGGTAGCTGATTATCATAGCTTTTAATAGTACTTATATAACTTTGATATTTTGTAGCTGTAAAAGAAGACGACATAACCTACCACTTTCACAACAGGACAACAAGCAACTATGAGATAAAGCATAACCAGTTGAACCGAATAGCTGGTTTCGATTTCACCAAACCATCATTCATATTGGTATGTTACCAGCAATGAAGTTAATTGGGCATTAACGTTAATGGCCTGGCAATAACGTGAATTGAGATTCATAGGATCATTATTTTGGACACCCTGTATATATACGACGATACGAATAGAATGACTAACACTTTTGGCATGAATAGTCAATGCGACGTTTCCCATCATGATGAAATGCTGCCAGCATTACCGTAATAAGATGTTTAGTGAGTGCCGCATTCTGGAGAATCTCACATTTCGGGCAGAACAGGCCGACATGACAGTTGTGTCGAGTTTTCCTGCCTTGAGAGTGGATATAAAAGCTTTCCTCTGTTCAAAAAAATGATGATAATATAGTGGAATGCAAAGTAACGTTATACGCAGTGTGTCGTAATGTTTTTTGTATTACTCACAGATGCAACGGTGGTTGATGTAGTGTTAAATCAATTTCACTATTCAAGCCGGTATTGAATTCTGATGGAATATGCTGTCGACTTAAGGGAAGGAATAATAATATTTTTCGATAATGAGCATTCACGTCAATACCCAACGCCCGGCCATGAACGCCTATGCCTGAGAAGACGTTAAAATGAAAGTATTAACAATATTGCCCGCGCTCGATGGACATTAACATGAATGCCCGGCCATTAACGTTAATGCCGTATTGGATATACACAAATAAACAGACATTTAAAACTTGTACAAAAATTGATATAAAAGGCGAATTGCTTAACTATCTTTTGCAACTAAATTTGGAAAGTGTCTTCACACTTGATGGCAATTCTATTGCAAACGCAGCTTACTATTCAAATACCATATATTGGTGTCTTTGTCATCAGTTTAGTGTCATGTGACAATTTATTTCTTTTAAATGACTAGAAATGCTCTCTCTTCTTGCTATACCTAAGAAAATACCTAACACGACTATTTTAAGCCTTTTGAATCCTGTGTCAAACATGAACCAAAATTCGAATCCTCATATTATATTTTACTCAAAATCAAAGAATGGGAAAGTTTAATTTTAATTGTTTGTGAGAGAACGGCTTTATAGCTGTAAATACGATCCTCAAGTTGCGTACTGTCGATTTATGAGCTAGTGCTTTATTTTCAATATACAGATTATATATACCTGATTTGAACTCCTGTATTTCTTTTTGTGGGGCGCTTTTGAACAACTAAAGTATGCTGAACAAATTTTTAAAGAAACCCTCAAGGAAAAAATTTTACATAAAGGGTCCCCGTGAAAATGTTGTCCTGTGTATGATGTTTCATTTTTCATCACGACTTGTGAATCACCCTGTAAAGATTCATCAGTTTACTATCGAAATTACTGTTTTTGGCTTGCAACGTAATGTCAGCAGACTTTTTGGAATTAATACAATGATAAATAAATCTGAGCATCATAAGCACACGACATAACTTGATCGAGACCTGAAATATACAAGGTGACCCAAAATGGATCCCTGATGCTTTACGTCAATGTCCAAGTTATCATCATTGCCCGTAATAGATACATGGATGGCACAGTGCTTCAAACTCACCATTTGATGGAGAAATCGTAAAGGCGCTTTTGAAAGAGCATGATGTCAACGTCATAGTAGCAGATTGGAGCCCAATTGCTAAGGATATTTACATAGTTGTAAAATTCAATGTCCCCACCGTCGGGAAATACGTTGGATATGTAATCAACAACATAACTGAAAAGTAAGTACAAATTTATTCTGTACAGTTGCTCAACGTAAGAAGATCAGACTCTGTATGCCAGATTGTGAGACACGCTGTTAGATTTTTTTTAACTCGGATATTTTGTGGAGGGGTCCGGACTCCCAGGACACCCGCCTGGTTCCGCCTCTGGTTTTACTTACCTCAATCTTAATTTCAAGGTATGGACCTATCGAGAAAAACCTTAGTTTCGTTGGCCATTCATTAGGGGCTCACGTAGCTGGTGTGGCAGCAAGGTATTTAGGCAACAAACCTGACCTTATTGTAGGTCTAGATCCAGCATTTCCTTTCGTCAATATCAAAGATGAAAATTACGCTCTATGTAAAGCTGACGCTAAGTTTGTGCAAGTCATCCATAGTGGTATCATAGCTGGTAAGTAATGCACATCTACGTGTAAATGTACACGGTGTTTTAAAATGTCATAATCCAAGCATTCATAGTTTTTATGGACTGGGCATACGTGAACACTTACACGATCTCTTTTAATCTGTGTAAAAATCCAATGTCACGTCTATAAGAAAAAATAAAGTGGATGATTGAGGACAAGGGATGAAACGTCATATTGGATTTCCAGTTCTGTCACCTTTTAGACCATAAAAGTGGCAATGTTGGTGTATGATTCATTTATAAAATCGCATCTCAAATAAATTCAGGAAAAGATAAAACCGATTTTTTCGTTCATCATCGGAGATGCTTTGAATTGCGAAACTTCCTAAGTGCCACTCCACCTAAATGCGCATCTGTACGCTTAGATAACTGACCCGGTACATACTTTTGCAGGTATTCATGCACCTGTGGGCCATGCAGATTATTTTCCTAACGGAGGATTTATACAGCCCGGATGTGGCATAAATATTGAATGTTATCACAAAAGATCACATTATTATTATGCAGAATCTTTGAAGAATAACAAATTTTGCGCTCATAGTTGCGCCGGCTACTGGAAGTTCAAATTTGGGCACTGCAATGACAGCAAAACATCACTTATGGGAGGATATCCAGTTGACGAAAGGTAATATTTTTCATAGAACCGAAGCAGCGTAACTGGGAAAAGCCTCCTCAGACAGATTGTTCCACAATGTCGACACGCTACGGTCATAGGAGCGGTCAGGCAGGTCTGTCTAGCAGGCTCATTGCGCGGCGGCATCGTGAAGAAGTGGTAAAAAAGATACAGATGGCTGACGGCACGTCCGTTCGAGAAACGTTATCGATCAGTCGGGTATTCGTTCTCTGCACAACATAGAGCAGTGGTCCACACCTTTTCAGTGTGTTGAGCTTAACACGATTCAAGAGGTTGCTAGATGATAACCTTGAAGTCTTTGGATCATTCTGAACAAAAAAGTTGCTAGTAACTTTTCCCTGGAGATGTAAGGGAGAAACCAAAAAATGGCCGTTTGCCATACTTAACAACTCGCAAAAAATTAACATTTCTTGGATTGCAACGTGTCAAGACAAAGAGTATTTTAAACTAATTTTATGTTAAGACATTGTTATTCAATTGTCATTTATGAACTATGGGCTGCGCTCCCATTAGAGTGAGTTTTGTGGCGTATGAAACTAGTTTAAAATGATTCTCATTATATTGTAACAAAAACTCAGTTTTTACTGTTCAAAGTCTAATTTATTACTCTCATACTTATTTATAACTACACTTGCAACTAAGTTATGATAAACTTTCAACCATGTCGACTGTACTATAGCATGTTGACTTATCGGTCACTGTACGTTGACTATCTGATTGTCTGATAGAGGCGCGCGGGTATTTATTTTGATATAAGCGAATTCCAGAGCAATCTTGCGCTTTATCCAAATTCTAGAACGCCCCCAATGACGCCCTTGATGCACGATGGCGTAACTCTGGTTGCCTAAGCATCGATATTGCGAAGGCGTCTCCTCGTTACTCAAGGTCCCAGTTACGAGGGCGTTACAATATGTTGCGTAAATTGTGAAATGTTTGAATTATGATGACTTTCAATTTCAGTGCTAGTGGAAAATATTACTTGGACACAAATTCAAAATCACCTTATGGAAGAGGACCATGTGGAAGCTTCGGGGATGACATATCCAAGAAAGAAGAGTCCAACCAAAGAGATATGTAATATGTATTTATTGCATCATTGACATTACAACATAGCATTAAAAATACGGTGCAAATGGCGGAATCTTGCCATTGGCCGATCTACTCAACCAATATTTTAAAATATAAAAAAGTGTAAATGAAGTATCTAGTATAATACTATAAACTATAAAAATGTCTGTTGCGGTATACGTGAATAAATTAACTGCTTCTAAAGGTGTTGAAAATATATTGTTTAAATAGAGAATTTAATTTATGATGATTTGCTTAAGAGCGCTGAAGCATGGCTGTGCGATGTCTTCGTATGGATAATGTGCTCGTATAGCTTAAATTTAAATCATGAAGGCTATCAAGACAATTGTAGGAATGACTCACGATACGGCTCTTAGTCTATGAGTAGACCCAAATGTTTGCATACATCATTGAGTTTTAAATCTTTGCTGTATATTTTCAGATCCAGGCTTGCTTTTCGATGTATCTGCTTTTCTGGCAAAGAAATACAATTTTTGATTTTCAAGAATGTTCAATGTTAATTTGCTATAGAGCAACTATGGTACAAAAATGATTCCTTACAAAAACTCGGTGTGTTGAAGTTTTAGGAAAAAAATGGAAATTAATTAATATTTTCAGAACCGCTTCAGATATTTCCCTGATATTTAGTACGTAGTGAAAGTTAATAAAGTTGCATATTTTTCAATGTAAATATTATTTTTAGCTTTAACAGTGGCGTGCGTACGGATATTGACTTCGATATTTTTTAACAAAAAAATGGTACGCCAATGGTTTTCTACCAGATAAAAATTATTTTTGAATTCCCCGTTCAATTTAAAACAAATGATCTCTCTCGAATTGTTTTTCTTCGATGCGCCTTTTTTGAGTAAAAAAATAAAAACCGTTCTATTGTCTAACTTGCAAAATTCCACTAAAATTCTCCAAACAATTTTATGGCAAATATTTAAGTGACTAGCGTATATTAACGACAAGAGGGGTCAGAGAACTGAAGCTTGTAGTATCTCTGAAGAAACATTCTGTAAATACCTGCCAAGCTAGCAAGATACCTACACCACAGATCAAACGATTTTAAGGGAACAGCTGCTTTTTAATAAGTACATGCAATACTTTAACCGCTAATAAATAGCTACATAAAAACATAGTGTTAACATTTAACATGACAGGTACTTTTCCCGCACAGATGACACCAGAAGACTTGAAATGACAGATATTTTATGTTCCATTGTGGGCAAAGGTCAAGCTCGGAACCTATGTCAATTTATTCAAAAAAGCGGTTTCATGGCACGTAGATACCCATGAAATCACATACTGCATGATTCAAAAAACAGTGCCAAAAGCAACCCTAGACTGAAAAGATTTGAACAGAAAATAATGATATTGGGCCAATCTTGCCTTAGTGAAATGTCACTCATGAGTCAGATGTACTGAAAAAACCTGGAAAATGTCATGATGAAAGGGTCATCTTTTTTGGAATATTTTCACAAGTGTCGTATTCCTGCGGTCCGTGGAAGGTTTAAAATTGCCAAATGTCATCTTTACTATTTAAGTACGTGTGTGGAATGAGAAGTTTTGACAATGTTTCTTTACTTCACGAGAAATTAAAATTCTGCGACTTTGTGTTCGAAATGATCGGTTCATTTGTTTTTGCACCTAGCTGTACAACTGCTTCCAATATTATAGTACATATTGCCGAACAATGCAGCGATATACGCAGCAATATAAATTAATAGTTAAAATATTTTGTACGATACGCATAATAACTAAGGACAAAGCGTACACATATATACATGTGTTTCACTCATTAAAATGTATGTATACTAATAATAACACCAAACTGCATGACTATCATGATCCACACTTCTGTCTAGACTTCCACGGGTTTGGAATCGTTTCTGTTACGTTTGAGTTGTTCTTTGTGAGAAATAAGTTTTGGTGAGTATCTCACACGTACAAATTGAAATCTAGTTACCCGGGGCCACCCATGAATCCCAGCACTAAATTGACATCTAATTCTAAATCTACGCACCCTAATCACCTGGAAAACAAGGTTCATAGACGCGCAACGGTTTTTGGAGTCTTTTCATTAGTCGTTTTTTGGACAAACTAGAATTCTTGTCGATATCTCGAAAACGAGGCGTTTCCAGAATAAATGGGACCCAGATTTGGTTTCACTGACCCAAAAACGTATCACAAGAATGGTTGGGCCCACGTCTTCAGTTCATCAAGGACTCTGTTCAACGCAAATTAAATCATCTGAGAAAATATTGAGTTACGGACATGTAGAACAAAGAAATAAGTCTATAGGCATTCTTCCCCTACCGCGCCGGGGTTTATACGCTATAAAAAAATCATATAGTTGTGACATGTTTGAGACAGACACGGATTTCTCTATACATTTGCCCTTGACTAGAAGTCATCGTCGGATGCAACGAAGATAGACGTTATACCTGTCGGGTACTGGCCGCTGCCACTGGCGAGGTTTCGATTAAATCCTTATCTCATAGGGAATCTAAAAGAACTATAGGAATTTGTTGGGCAAAGTTTGAAATTGAAAAAATATAGGATATCGAAAAATTCTCATTTTCGAAATGTTTCGCGATTACAATATTTCCTCCCCAATCATCATGAGAATTAAAAATGGCACTTCTGTCCATACTTCCATGAGTTCGGAAACATCAGTTCTGTTCAAGTTGTTTTTTGTTAGAAAAAAGTTCGGCTCGGTATTTCTTCCTGTTTTGGTAGCCGATCTGTGTCAATTATGTGCTGATAAGACAGCAGACAATATTTTATTTTTTAAGGCTTATCATATATATTATGATTATAACTGGAATCTCGTATCAGGGGTATACTTAGCCAAATGTGTTGGTTTTTGACCCATATCATAAGTAACAGCTTCACATGGAATGAATGAAACGTGTCAACTTTTTGCGTATTTTGATATAGTCCAAAACAAAAACATATTTAAGCACGAATTTTTGAGATAACAGAGCACAGGAATGTGCCGTTGACAAAATACTTAATAACCGAATATTGTTTTTTTTTTAGAATCGATTGTGAAGAATATTTGTTTCTAGTGTAATGCTGTAGAGACGCAAAAACCACAAAAAGTCGACCGACTTGATAGTTGATACCATTTGTAAGATCATAATTTTGAGATTGTGCATAGATAAGGGGTATATCAAAAAGACTATCTATATAAATACAGACGTTTTTCCAGTTCCTATAAAATATGGAAAAGTGGAGAACTTTAAGTTCCGCAACTAAACCTGTAATTTAATTATATATATACATGTATATACACGAGTATAGCTTCCGCCTTTTGTTGGGTATCTTCGACAAAATTCAAGCAAAGATGACTCTTTATACTTTATTAATCTCTATCTTTCAATGGACTTTGCCATCTTCATCAGGAGCTGCGATAACATTGAGAATAAATAGCAACTATTGTGCAAAATGATTTTAAATTAACTTACAGTCGTATGTGAGATTGTTAGGATAGGTAACCCGAGCGATACGTATTTCTGCTGGTTGGCTTCATCAGGCCCGAAATGAATGCACATATGCAACTACAAAAGTAGTTACAGCCGTATCCGTATGTGTGGGCCTGTGTATCTACTTTTGTAGTTGCATATGTGCATTCATTTCGAGCCTGATGAAGCCAACCAGCAGAAATACGTATCGCTCGGGTTACCTATCCTATTTTCTGCTCGAATCCACTTTCCTCCTTTTTGCGGATTCTGTCCATTATTTTCCATAGGTACCGATCGAAATGGTGATGGATTTGTGTGATTTGGCAAATCGATAAAGTGAAGATACAGTGTTGCCATTTGGGTATACTACCTACCAGCTGTGTAGTACGAGCGATAGATAGCATACTGTTTAACATTTGAAGGGTTATTTCATACTCGTTAGTATACTGTTTGAGTATATTGGTACAAACGATTTCGTAATAAAAAGATAAAGCTGACCGTAAAGGGCACAGAACAAAAAACGTCTCCTGGTAAGGCTACATTTTTAGACATTCGTGTCTATGTCAGTGCGCAAAGATTTCGGATATAGGTACATAAATGTATCTGAGATGATTTACATCTAATATTTATCAATTGGTATGTTTCTCTTTTATAACCCTTACTCTTTTTTCAAATTAAATAAAGACAAAGCATTTGCGCATGACCTTGTGAGTGATATAATCACACTAGATTTGAATTGAAAATTACAAATACCCATCTGTATTTTAAATGATGTAACAAAGGTACTGTAAAAGCGTGATACACGGTCATATTTTGCAACATGAATACTTATCAATGTATCAATTGCGCTATATTTGACCTAATTGAAAATCGTGACCTTTCGGAAATAATCTGTCCCTGTCCTTGCTTTGCGCTGTCACGTTGACAACGTTGGTTGCTCGGGTTTTGTGTTTCATGATACAGTATTTTTTAACAACAGTTTAAAATTAGGTTCCTGATAGGATTGTTTTTCTTGCTGCTCCGATAAATCATAAACTGTGGCCTTTAGAAGATTAAGATATGACCCCTGCAGAGATAAAAGCTTGAACGATATGATGCTTCATATAAAATGGTAAAATCAGAATAACTGTCAGTTTTTAAACTTCCTTTTAAGGCGCATAACCTCACTCTTTGTTGTGTTCGCTATCGAGTGTCTCGCAATTTGTGTTTCTTTTTGTTCAAGCCTGTCTGGTGCCTTGAGGGCTAGTGCAATTCCCTTACTGACCCGTATTTATTTTCTGGATATCCTGACAGCAAAGGGAGGAATGCTGAGAACGACTAAAGACTGTCTAGGACTGCGTGTTCGTCTAAACTTACTGCACCATACCTGGAAGTGGCTACACCAGACCATCACCCTCCACGACTACCTCATCTCTTTGACAGCATCTTGTAAAAACGCTCACCCAAAATCCCTACTAAAGCTCTAAGGGATAGGTTCAACAGGCACAACATCTACAAAACAGGTGTTGCTAGTGAAAACAAAGACTATAGACAATGGCATCCACACAGTGCACCCTAGGCAAAATTAGGCATTTTGTCTCCCGTATTAGTGTTAGAAGATATTCAGCTCCCACTAATGAGAAAGACATTAAAAAATCAGTGTTCCTTTCCCAATCTAGAGATATCTTCACAAACCTCGCTCTTGAAGACTGGCTGTATAAGAACTTTGATTTCAAAAACCATCATATTCTCATGCTGTGGCAAAGTGATCCCTGTGTTGTTATTGGACGGCACCAAAACCCCTGGATTGAAGCTAATTTGCCTGAGTTGCCTCACATCACAGAGAATGGGGTGAAGCTGGCAAGGCGCAATAGTGGTGGTGGTACAGTCTATCATGACAATGGCAACCTGAATCTCACATTCTTCACAACAAAGGAGAGGTACAGCAGAAAATATAACCTGGAAGTCATCACCCGGGCACTTTTTAGGAAGTATAATGCTACGGTGGAAATCTCGCCGAGGGAAGATTTGATGATCAGAAATTATAAAGTATCCTTTGTCATTACACGGATGGATGGACAGGGTGAGTTTTTAGTGTGGGTGTCAATAAATCCATTATTGTGCTTGGTATCTAAAAAGTTGAATACCAAACAGTATGATCTTTACTCAGAAAATATTTTTATCTCTACAGTGCGATCCATAACTACATGGTGACCTGAATATCCATTTTTTGATTGGGAAGGTCTATATTTTGACTGCAGATTTAGATATGATCTTTTGACTTTTACAAGTTGCATCTCTGTAACAGTACTGAATCTTTGACAGGTTTTGGATGGTTTATATAGGGTGATCAAGAATACAAGATAAACAGTTTCTTAAAATTTTTAAATAGGACACCCTGATTCCCCTTTCTACAAGCTTTTTATATAAGGTTTATGGAGGTTTGTACAACTGGTTTTTGCATTATAACTGACATTTTTGTCAATCAGGTATCTAGGTAAATGAAAAATATTACAATAGGTTTTTAAATAAAATAGCATTTAGATGGTAAACGAAGATCATTTGATTTGATCTATTTTTGTTATAAATTAAATCTACTGAGCTTCATGCAATGAAGATGAAAAACCAGGAAGGTGACCCTCAACAAACAGGTATACAAGCTCCCGTAAACCTTATATCACAAAAAAGTTTGTGAAAAGGGGCACCAAACAATATACAGGGTGTTTCATTTGAAAATTTTGAGAAATAGTTAATTTTATCGTTTTGACCACCCTGTATAAGCTACCCAAGGAACTAAAAAAGTAAGTAGATAGGAACAAAATATATCATAAATACTCTTGATAAGGTCTATCCAAATGTGCAATAAAATTAGGGCTTTCCAGTCAAAACGAAATTATGTTGGAGTCAGCATGTAGTTTTGAATCACCTTGTAGAAATAAAAATATTTTCCAAATCAGAAGCATCCTCTTGGCTAACTTTTTTAGATACCATGCGTAATAATGGAGTTATCGATCAAGCCCACACTAAAAGCTCAATCTGTATATGCAGACTAGCTAAGTCCTAGCATAAAAACAATGGTGTAGGTCCTTGAACCCAATGTCTTATTTGCCTTGTCTAGTTATTATTTTCTATTGTATTTTGATTTTTTCTTTTTGAATTATATTCATGTTCATTTGAGTTACATTAGGAATTGATAGCTGGAGAGGGTAAATAGGACTTATCATTAGCTTTGTATGCTACCTGGAAGACAAAAACAAAATACACTGTCACATAATTGTCAGTTCTACTTGAAAAAGACCACAGTGGTGGTCAAAAGGACTTGACAATTTATGTATGGAATTCGACCTCGTTCTTATGATTCACTGGCACAGGAACATCCAGCAGCGAATATGTGGACACACATTTTTTTACTAGACGATGAATTGCTTGTCTACTGGGACGAGAATTACGACCAAAAATTGGCGTTATCACTCTTAAAGTTGCAGTCACCGACTCGGAATTTCGGCAGTAAATTTTCATTATTTGTAAGTGTTGTTTGTTCATGATAAAAATGTTTCGACATTGAAAGTCCGGTAATTGATTTAAAGGTGCGTTCACGGTGAAAGTTCAAAGTTGTCAAGTTGTTACTGGAAAAGCTGATACTATTTGATCACACTCTATAATCTTTTAAGAAAAAAATAATAGATGTGATATAAAAATAACCAACAACAAAAACTGTTGATCAAAACAGCAAAAAAAATTAATCAATAGCTTTTTATAATAATACATACACCCTATCAACATTTTGTCTGTGGACTCTTATCAGCCATTCATTATTACCATAATCTTTAGCAAGGCTAAATATAGGGTAACAGAATTTGCAAAGAGAGGACTTTGTACTTCTCTGACTCAGCATATAAACAATTATCTTTTCTATTCAAATAACCTCGGAGATTTCTTAAATTGTTATTCTTGAATTTGCTAAAATATTTTTAATTATTTCCGTGATCCATCATTTACAGGGTGTTTTTTTAATAAGTATCCAATATTTTACAGGAAGATCCTGGTGTTTTAAGCCAAAAAGTCATTTAAACATTTGGCCTAAAATGTTCAATTACCATGATTCAGGATGTTGAAAATCTCTACATCACTGAAGAGACTCATTTAGATCGAATCATATTTCATCTCCCAATTTGTTTAATGTCAATCTACTATAACTTCATTACTACTATTTTCAAAGCAGTATAGTACAAAGTTTCTTATGTGGATTATATTTCCAAGGTTCAAACCAATTTTTCTGCTAAAGTAATGGTTGCCAAAACTTCTCAAGAGCAACGATATGCGTAAAATTAAGTATCTCGTCTTAAATGCAACGGATGCTTCAAAAATGGCGTAGAAATAATTTTCGCCAGTTAAAGTCTGACCAGGTCCTTTGTTTACACCATGTGTGAAAGAGATACTCGGTGCTCTAGTTTTAAGTTATGTATTTGGATCTGCTAGGGAAACAATAGCGAACTATTTCCAATTGTTTTACTTTATGAATCATTCATGAGAAGCCAGCATTTTTTCACTTGTAACACAGTGGATACAGTAAAAATAGTTCACAATATCTACTGTTTGTTCTCTGAAAGTAACTAAAAATAAAACCAAATCAAGTACATATTAGACAAAAATTATTGGACACATTTTGAATGATCTTTCAACTTTAAATGCATAATGCTTCGTTTAATAACAGCAGTTAGATCACATGTAAACAGGAAGTTATTCTCTGAATATGATGATATATGTCCCATGTGCCAGCTGTATCAAAATACTGTTTATATTTCATGTTAGCCTTGTTTGTTATTAATTAAAAGTGCCTACAGCTTGTTGATTTTTTGTCAATGACATAGAAAAATGTGCACAAAATTGGACTCTTATTTTGTTGTTGTCTACCATATTGATAATCAGTATTGCAAGCTTTGTTTTCCTTAACATTCTCTTAGATTTCTGGTACTGCTTCCAAACTAGGAAGGCCTAATGCCTATCATCACTGTACCCTCCTGGTCAACTCAAATAAACTAGATTTGAGTCTAGCTCTCCAAAAGCAGGATGTAAGTACATTAGTACCAAGTATAGAAAGAAAATTACATTTATTGTTTTCAAATTTTAGATTGAGGTCAAAACGAATGCTTCAAGATCAGTGTCATCCAAGATAATGAACCTATGCGAAGAAGTTCCTAATGTCGATATTGCCAGTTTAACAGAAGCAATCGGATGGGAATATTTGAGAACGCCAGCATTAACAATTACTGATGGTGGAATGGAGTTGGCTAATCAACAAAAAGGATTCCAGATGATCAACCCCACTGAGTCTTGGTTCCCAGGTATGTGTTACAAATTGTTACAAAAACTAAACTACCTTCTGGGTCGAAATAATGTGCCCAGTGTCAACACCATTCATCATTTGGAACTGAAATTTGAACAAGCAGGTGAAGTTAAAGACTTGCCAAGGTCGAGTCGTGCTCGAACTGTTCGTACTCCGGAAACTATCGAGGCAGTTCGTGAAAGTGTAGTGGAGCGCCCTGAGACGTCTACCAGACATCGTTCTCAAGAACTGGGTATTCCATTATGCACTCTTTTAAAGAAAGACTTATATTTGCGGCCATACAAAATTCAGTTAACCCAAGAACTACAGCCTAGTGACCATGAAAGACGCCGACAATACCGTCATGCAATATTGCATCTTAATACCCAAAATAACGATTTTACCGACGACTTATAATGAACGACGAAGCCCACTGCGATATGAACGGATTTGTTGATAAGCAGCTAGGGAAACAATGAATCTTTTTACAATATCTCCGGGACATTTAATTTCTCGATTTGGCGATGTCACCGTGTGCTATTTCTGTATTTTGATTCCAGGGCTCGACAAGATTCGAGAAGACTTCATGGGCTGGGACTGGCGCTATGGCAGAACCCCGGACTTTGATGTAACAAAATCCTTCGAAGTGCCTACGCATTTGACGAACGGCGAACGCCAAGACCTACTGGTCACTATGACTGTAGAAAAAGGCAACATCGCAGATGTGAAATTGAAGCTCCCCAGTAGACTTATCCCCGAGGGATCTTGTGGGGAAGTTAAAGTCGTTACCACGCTTATTGGACACCGGTTCTCAGTAGAAGCACTGAGTAAGCTCAGCAATTTACTCAACTTGGCTGAAAATGAAAGGGATAGATTCGTCACTGAATGCCTGAAGCAAGTGGTCAGTTCGTTTTGAAATAGAGATGACAGGAAGGTTAGCAGAGGCTGAGAAGGGAGGTACAGGAAGTAATCTGGTATAATCTTTGCTGAACGTTAAAAAATCGAATTTTTTAAAATGTTGAAACATCAAAGGAATAACCTAAGCATTCAGTAGTTGATGGAGCACGGATGGAGAAAATTTATCAACTGGTTAGTTTTGAAGAAAATAAAGTTATACCATGATAAATGTATCTTCCGCACAAAAAATCTCGCTGATCATTCCTCCATGTTTCTCAGTAACGACCAGCAGAAGCATCTCGCTACCTTTCTGTCTATACGATGAATGTCTCATAAAAAACTGTCATTCTCAGTACTTTAATAATTATATGGTGAAAACAGTACAGTGTGGATCTCCACTGCTAATTAAATTTCGGGAATTTGTGAATAAAAAACAAGCAAATCAAATTACACGTAAAATTTGAATATCGACCTTCACAATAGTGTCCACACAACGCCGGTATTTTCTCTAGGCTGAAGATCCGAGACCTCACTGCCGTTGACCCCACTGTATTCTATCATTCGTTGACAGAGTATGGGACACCATAGAGGTGATAGGAACCCGCAATTGAACAACCGCAAGAATAAGGATGTTTTCAAGAAGGGTGTACAGATTTTATAGAGGCAAAAGGCCCTACTCGGAGGGCTGACATAGGCAAGGCGGATGAAGAGCTGCCATCGAAGAAACTCTGTATATTGGAAGAATTACCTCCATCGTACCAAGTGCTCGACTGTACCGGTAACAGTTTTAGGCAAACAGATTGTCACACCACTGATTGGCGAGGCCCTTGACTATCTAGAGCTTTTAGGTGCTATCAATTATGCACACCGAATCTTGATTATGAGAACATGCGTTCCAGTTGCAGGAGAAGTCGCTGATGCGTTAGAAACTTTTCCTCACATTAAATGGGAGAACTACGCAGGGGAAATCATTCCACCGGCAAGTGCGAGATTTGTTTTCACTGTATAATAGAAAATGTTCCTCATCACATCACCAGCTTTCAACTAGTCAATAAATGTTATTTGACATTGTATTAAGTTAACCATGAATCGATTTCCTACTTTTGTGTCAGTTTATGATTTTTCTCAATCACTTAGATTCTACAACAGTTCAAATGCTTCTAAAGTTCTGCTAAAACTGCTAAATCCTGAGACTGTTTCAATAGCATATTTTTGTACTTTTTATGGTCAGCTTTATTAGAGAAAAATAGTTCGTTTCTTAGATTGTGGTGAAATTTATTGATGATTACGTTCCATATGATAAATCATAATGTGGTTCATACAAAACATTATTAGGATATATAAAAAGCAAATAAAAAGAGCAGGCTATAACTTTAACCCACTGGCGGTAGCTCAGTGTGCGGTAGCAACGGATAACTGGTTCCTAACTGGTATCTGGCTACAATGATAACCAAATACTAGTTTAAGTGACTGGATATTAATAAAACAAATAACCGCAAAATTTACGAAATTTAGTTATATTCCTACAATCAGCCTTCAGTTAGTTAAATTAAACAGCTAACACTACATCAAAGATAAAGTAAAAAGACAAATAAAGTGTTTTTTCTGTGTTAAAAAAAACAAACTAATGAAGGTTTGAGATCAAAGCAAATCACATCAAAATACGTATATTTCAAGTAGTCCTTTCTTATTTCAAATAAAACAAACTTTAAAAACAAAAGCCGCCATTATCCCTGAATTAGTAAATAAACAGACAATTGCGGTTTATGAATGCCAGTGGTTCTACGGTCTCTGGCTAAAGCCGGTTTTGCTGCTCCTTGTAAAATATGCCGGCTTTAAAAGACAAATATCTCACTGTATACTCTATTACAAGGAGACAATAGGTATACTTTGAAAAACCTTGCCAAGATTGGATAATATTTTTTGCATGGTTTATAATGAAAAATGAATTGTTAGAATAATGTTCCTTTTTCAAAATATTTACAGTTGCAGCTGGTCATTGATAAATGACACATAACCAAATCTAAGTTATCTAGTCTTAAAATGTGATGTGATATTTAATATTTTGATTCGTAATATTACAATGTCAAATGATGAATTGATTTTCAAAGTTCAATGTCATAAATCTAAATGTCATGTTGATGGTTTTTGTTATTTTATGTGTAACTGCCCAGTTATAGTATTTAATTTTTAAAGCTGTTATAGATTTTAAGATTTTACCACTTGGATATATTTGTTAGCGTTTTGTGTTATTTTAATCCTAAGTTTAAGTGCCGTTTTTAATAACGGTTCACAAGAATTAATCATATCATTTTATTTTTAACAGTTTTACATCTAGTTCTGTTTATTTTGTTTCTAGCTTAGGTTTATCCTTGCAATAGTGTTTTGGAGTTGTTGTGCCTTATTTAGTGTTAATAAAATTATAAAAATGTAATAGACTGATTATTGAGGAAGCCCAAACCCACTAAAAGCACTAACCCTAACAGCTCTAGATAACCCCATTGCCTTAGATATTTCACTATCAGAATTATGAAATTAAAAAAAAAAATAACATTTTCCAAGGATATATTGCAAATAAACTGCATTTTCTTTATAAGCGAAAATCTGAACAAATGCAATTTGTGACAAACTAAAAAGTAAAGACGAGACCTAGAAGTATTTTATTCGCTCCAAGATACATTTTGACGTCCTGGAATGATGTAGCACGAAAATTACATTCCTTTTGTATAAAAAATCATATGTATCGTCAAATATTGTGAAAAGCAAAAATAAGAATCTCGCAACAAAAAAAAACTCAAAGCATCAAGTGCAAGTTTTTGATGAACTGCAACGGTTCTGACTAATTTCTATAATGCTAGACGATATTACGAGGGATGTCTTTTAAGTTTTACATATGGAAATAGAACAACACGGTAGGTAGTTTTAAATGACTTTATTATTATTCTCCACGAAGATTAATACACATCTGCCTGCGATCGAACCAATTTTCGAAGCACTTATTCCACTCGTTTGCTGGCTCTGCTCTTCAGTCAACAGGTGGGGTATCCAACGAGAAACTAATTTTCTTACTCCTAATTCTTCATGTAAAATTTTTTGAATTGAGATCTTTGAGATTTCAAGGACGCCTAAATCTCGCGATATGTCAGATGTCTATCTTCAATGATGAGTTTGCGCACAGCATCGACGTTTTCCTGGATGACCGCCGTTTTTGGTGCACCCACCCTGGGATCGTCGCTAAGACTCGCCCGTCCACGTTGGAATTCTCCAAACCAACGGGAAATTGTCGACTGATGTGGCGCTTCGTTACCGAAAACAGACAGTAACTCCGCAAGGCATTCTTGTTGCGATAATTGTCTCTGAAAGTTGTAATAGATTATGGCGCGAAAATGTTCTCGGTTGAGTTCCATTTTTCTAATGACTTGGTGACACTTAAAAATTCACTGTAGTGAGAACACTGCACGTGTTGTTGTGAAACTTAAAATTTAAGTTCACTAAAGAGAGAGATTAAGATTCAGTACTGACGTTCGACCCACGCGACCTACTATGTTTCTATATGCAAAACTTAAAAGACATCCCTCGTATCGCTATTTTTGCCGTTCCAATGGAATTTAGTTTATTTCGGATCATAGTTGCGATTAATTGACCACACTAACAGTCCAGTTCTATTGCTGTTGGATATCACTTGTCCTATGTTCTATTCAAGTTTTCGTTCTATGCCGTATCGTTGCTAGGCAACGGCGATGTGACGTTTGTCACAACACGATAAATATTTACCGTTAATACGTCACCAAAACTTGAATAATTCAAAACTTTTCAAAAATCAGCAAAAATGTTCATTTACTTGAGTAAAAAGGTAAGGCTAAACGGTCCACATGAGTTGCATAATTACAGCATTTGATATGTTATAGATTGCTATGCCCAACAATACTAAAATCAGAGCTATTGCTTGGAATAAGCAGGATGGTTATATCGCTGTTGGTGGTGAAATCGGATTATTAAAAGTCCTGAAGTTAGATAGTTGTAAGTATACACTGACAGCATCAATTAAATCATATCTATAGAGAACCAAATCATTAAAAAATTGTCCTTAACCTTATCCTACATGTTTGTCTCACTAATTTATCTCATGCTTTGCTAGCCATTGAATGAAGCCACAGATGTAGAAGAAAAACGTTATCAACGTCTTTAGATAGTACTTTGAAAAAGGCTCCACGAAGAAAATGTCAATAAAATTTTCTTTTACATCTGTACTTTTGATGGCATCTTTGACATGTACTGATGGTGTTAAGATATTGTTTTGCTAATCCCGCATGTTTCTCTGGCTGAATCAAACCACATATGTTTAAAATCTCTCTTTTTATGTTACATTTTGGTCCATAGTACAATTGACTCCTGAAGAAGGTCACTGTCAAGACTGTACGTTGTACAATAAATAAAAATGTTAAACATACATGCTTTGATTCCGACAGTATAAGTTTTAGATGTTACAGATTGTTTTGTGCTACAGAAATATTGCTCCTACATATTATTCCGGCATAAATGTACCCTTCAACTCAATATATCAATTTTTATCTAAAGCTACAGACCCAGAAGGGACTTCTAATAGAGGACTAGCTGCATCAAGCAATTTGTCAATGAACCAAACTCTGGAAGGCCACACTGATAACATTAAAGTCTTGGTCTGGAATGAATCTCACAAAAAGTTAACAACCAGTGATGAGAATGGCGTGATAATTGTTTGGATGTTATATAAGGTTTGTACCAGTATCTTCATTGTATTTAAATATCATTAGAGTATTTTCTGTTCTTAGAACTTATGGATTTAAAAATTGATTTTTGTTGAATGCCGCCAAACTTTTGCTAAGGTTTTATTGTATTTATGGGGCATGTTGTATACTGAATTGGCATTTTCAGGGAGCATGGCATGAAGAAATGATCAATAACCGAAAAAAATCTACAGTTGTTGGTATGGCATGGAGTGGAGATGGCCAAAAAATATGCATTATATATGAAGATGGAGCTGTTATAGTTGGCTGTGTTGGGGGAAACAGAATCTGGGGTAAAGAACTAAAGCATGTGAAACTATCTGGTGTGCAGTGGTCACCTGATGGTAAATTACTTCTATTCTGTTTGAAAAATGGAGAGGTACACTTATATGATAATCAAGGAAACTTTGTGGTAAGGAACTGTTACTTTTTTTATTACAATATATTATTCTTGAAGGCACAACCCATAATTTAATTTATGTTTCAGATGTATATAAACATTGTATGTGATGATACTAAGTTAGACACAAACCCTATAGTAGGACTTGACTGGTACAATGGGACAGATGGATATACTTTTGCATTTTGCCCAAACCTTGCTATACTTTTTGACAATGGAAAGGGCCAGCTTATGAGAAATGAAAGTGACACCGGTATGTATACTTATTTTTCACACCGAAGCAGCAGTGTAACTACTAAGGCACCATGGCAGCCATGAGGATCTTAAAGAAACCTTACTAACCTGATTTTTGAACTGCCACTGACTTTTCTTAAAATAAAAAAAACGGCGTCAAGTAGATTGACTGTGTACTTCCTAGGCCTTCATTGGAGCTTCCAAAGAGCAGCAGCTTCTTAATAATAGAAGTATATTATACATCGGACTTTTCTCATTTAATTTTCACGTGGTTACCAGGATCAGAAGCTTCTTAATGATAGAATGTATTTGACTAATACTAACAGTATGATATTAACAACCCAAAATCCGAGCGGTACTACTCCAATTCGAGATTTTTCGCGATTACAATGCTTCCTCACCAGTTGACGTAGGAAGTAAAAATGAAACCTGTATTCATTTGACATAAAAAAATGCCTTACACGTATGCTAAATTTTATTAAAATATCTGAAGTGGTATTTTCAGATGTTCATAACAAATTATTTATTTTTGAAAACTTTACCACCCTGTATCTCAAAAGTTAAGAAGTTTGAGACATGCGTTCATATCTTAAAATGGGGTCAAAAATCGCCCTCTTAAATATTGTTATTCAATAAGGAAACATTTATAATAAAAAAAGCCATTTACGATGCTTTCGCTACTTCAGATCCAGTGGTAATAGATACAAGAATGAAAGTAGTGCACTGCAGTTGGAATCACAATGGTACGCTTTTGGCTATTTCTGGAAAGCAACGTATGGATGAAAAAGAAGTAAACCTAGTCCAGTTTTACAGCCCTTTTGGAGAGGTATATGTACTAAACAAACTTGTTTACATTATGTATGTTACATGTACATGTGCGTTCTGTTTTAGCATTTACGGACCTTAAAAGTTCCTGGTGTATCGATTTCATGTTGTGTATGGGAAGGTGGATCTTTGAGAGTTGCTCTGGCAGTGGATTCAAATGTGTTTTTTGCCAATATCCGACCAGATTACAAATGGTGCTACATCAAGAAAACTGTAGTTTACGCTTCTTGCAAACCTCCAAAACCTGGCATATGTCTCTCGTTTTGGGACACAACCAATAATCAAGTAGGCATACTGAGTGTTTCAAATTGGTCTCTCACCGTTAAGATTTCGGAAGCAGTGAGAGATTTTTCGAATTGTCCCTAAATTGTTTTTATTTTTTACGGTCTTTGAGATGAGGTTTCAAAATAAAAAGTACTTTAACATTGCCACTGGTTCTCCTCTACAATGTGGCGTGAATAAAATTTCAATATGATGTTTCATCTCTTGTCCTCAGTTGGCAATGTTAATGTATGACATATTTTACGTTTTTGGAATCGGAATTAAAAACTATTCACCGCAGTAAAAATCCACTATGACGTCTATAAGAAAAAATAAAAATGATGATCAGTTTTTTCAAACACTCGCGTCGCGTTTTACCGCTAGGCAGGCAATACAGAGGTAGTTGATGCATTTCAACTAATCTATATTCAGGGTCTTCGAAAAATAGGCGGAGATATTTTAGATGGTGATTTCTTGTTGAAAAATACTAAAAAAGTTTCTATAAAAATGGGTCCGGAAACGCAGGCTTTTCAAGACAGGGTGATAAATTTTAAAAAAATCCGTAGTATATTGTTGAAGAAGAATGCAGAAATGATTTTATGTTTTCCAAGGCACTTTTGATTTTTGTAGCAAAAGTTAATAAACCAATTTTGTCCGGTGACGTGCAAAAAAACGTTATTTTTTTTTTTCGAAAACGAAGTGTGATACGATAAAATACGAGAGACAAAGAAGTTGCATTTTTATATGCCTACTCAAACAACAAATATTAAAGTTACGAAAAAGGCAGTGGCGTATTTTTTGGCAATAATATTCGCTAAAATGCCCCCCGGGACGCCACTGGACCCAAAAATTTTAACCTATTTAGGGCTACATCAGCCTCTTAATACAATAAATAATATTGCCAAATTTCAACAGAATCGAATAAACATTTTTTAAGATATTAATGAAAAAAGAAAAAAAATTATCACCCTATATCTTGAAAACTCCGGACCCATGTTATTGAAACTTTTTTCTTTTTTTAACAAGGAATCACCCTCTAAAATTTGTCGAACACCCTGTATTGTTTGAATATACATACAGTTTGCCTTGTCAACTGTAACCATGACCAACCGCAGACAGGGCTGTTTCATGCTTATTAGCAACTCATCAGTGCGATTTAGGTCTAGTCGTGGAAACAGATAAAATGGAAAGCAAGCAAGTGGTTACGATTTTTTTTGCAAGGACGGTAACATGTATACGATTTTCGAGTTCGAATCCCGCCAGCGCCCATTTTTTATTTTCTCGCAAGTTATCGCTTTTGAAATACTCTAAACATTGTGCTCAAGTAGTTGGAAATATAACGATCGCAATTCGAACTTTTCCAGTACCATACAAGATGGGTATCAGTTCTTCTCGCCATAGCTGGATATGGAGATTATTGTATTGCTGCTACTAGAGCTGAAACTGAAGGATCTTTAGGAAAATACAATTTACAGTTGTTCAATACACTTGGTACAGCAGTTGATGGTATGTGCCTAAGGATACGTGAAATGACACAGTGGTGTAACATTTTTTATTTATTAATATATCATGATGAACAAAAAAATGGTATGTGAGCTACTAACTTTGAATTTTGCAGCTAAGTACATCACTATCGAACCGATTGGCGTTGCAATGAATTCCTATCAGGTTTTTGCTGCATCTAAGAATAATTTTCTAGTGTGGCACTATAAAACGCCGAAATCAATAACAGGTAGGTGGTATAGCGACATGGTCTAGTATTAATAAAAAAAAACTTCATATCGAGACGGGTCGAAAAGCATCTCGCATAGTATACAAAAGGTTCCATTTTTATGAAATATCTCAAAAACTAATAGCTAATTTTAATAATAGTTTGCGGATAACTAATGCTATTTAGAAGGAATCAACATGGTTCGCTAAGAAACGTATTTATCGAGATATCTTGAGTTGTCTATACTTTTTGAACACCATACCTATAAGCTTATGTCTCCCCGAATTGGTTCAGACATGATGCTGACATTTTTATTTAGATCGATAGAAGACTTTATAATAAAACGGTTAGATCGATATGAATGCTATAAATAAAGATACAATATATGTCGCAAAGTCAACAGGACTTTTGAAATATATCCGATACAAGTAGCGGCATCCATTATCGGTGACTAGCGTTGGATATGCACATATTTCATTGATGCTTTGTCAAAATTGCATGACAATCGAACCACTTCACGCGGAGTTATCGCGAAGTGATAGTACCTTTTTAGCATCGGTCGAAACATGAGCATCGAACAAAGGGCCAATAAACTTGGTAAAACGTTTACCGAAACGCATCAGATGTTGATGCAAGGGTATGGTTCATGGTTCAAAGAGGGTCGTGAGTCGCTGGCCAGTCAAAATTTGTAATTACGCCAGAAACCGCCAAAACAAGGCATGAATTTATCAGAAATGAATTCAACATTCGAGATACATCATCAAAGAGGCTAAAAAAGACAAAAACTTTCTGTGGAACACTGTGTCTGTTGACGAAACGTGGTGTTTTAATTATATATCTATATAATCATTCACAAGGGTTCGTTCCATCGTGTCAAACGGTTAATGCTATGTTTTATCTTGGTGTTATGAGGCGTTGGCGGTCGCGTATTGGGCCAGAATATTGCGAAGAAGGAAGCTGGTGCTTGTTGCACGATAATGCACCATTTCATCGATCAACGCTTGAGTCCGATTTTTTGACAAAAAAATGCATTTTAACCATCAAACACTCCTGATATGGCACCGTGTGACTATTTGCTGTTCGGTAAACTACATTTGCCCATGAAGGGACAGCGGTATGCCGACGTAAAGGCGTCGCAAACCAAGCTAAAATCATCATTCGAAAAGCTTTTTGAAGAAGACTATTTTGAATAAAATAAATTCGATTTTCCAAAACAATAGTTTGTTCATTTTTTCCTTTGTCCTGTTTACTTTACGACAGTCCTTGTATTATGGATTAGAAGGATCGATGTATAACGCAATGAAATATACTTTTTAGCTGGATCTGTCAGATGCAAGATGTTCCATATAGACGATAGCCCTTCTGGAGCAGTGGAAATAATCCAGGAGCTTGATAGTATAAACGCAGTGCCCGCAAGCATGCATGACACCATAGACCCTATCTGTTGCTTAACTGCTACAGACAGGTGCCTGATTATTGGGAGAGAATCCGGTCTGATACACTACTACACTCTACCACATATTGTCCTTACAAATAGGTACAAGAATGCTGCCAGACCTCACAAGATGACGGTGAATTGTAATTCTACGTAAGTGACACGAGGTGTGTAAATTAAGTGATGAGACTGGCATCGTAGGCACCACTGGAGGCTCCAGGCTTGGAGGGCGGACAGGGGAACATGTGATCCTTATTCAGTACAAATAAAAATTAACATCGACCAAGCTTTGCGCATACTGAATTGACATTTTCCTCCCATGTCAGATGCGAGTCTAAAATGACCCCTAAGAATCTAAATGACATGGATGGTTTTATTTATTTAATTTTAATTTAGACTTAGAGCAATATAAGTTGGTATGAATATTGATTCGTAATTGCTCATTTTCCATAGGCGTTTGGCGGTTATAGACGTGGCTGGAGTGATGACAGTCACTGACATATCTGAAGGTGTGGGGAGACCCAAAACTGCTGCCCAAGGTAACAAGTTGGAACGAAAAGATGTCTGGGCTATGTGTTGGGCTTCTGATAACCCTCAGCTATTAGCTGTCATGGAGAAAACGCGCATGTACATCTTCAAGGGGATATATCCTGAAGAACCTGTTGCTTGCTCCGGGTATATTTGCAATTTCAATGTAAGTAAATTTAATTTAAAGTTCACACTCAAAAAAAAGATTTCTAAACGTCCAAAAATGTAATCGTATGTACCGGTTGCGTGATTCTTTATTTCGATTTCTATATTTCTATACCACATTCCAAGAGAAACGGTAACGCTGCGGAGAGTTCCAGAGCCAGCCTCATTAATATTTGTTCATCTGCGTTATTTTCCGGACTTTATAGACATGTCGTTACGTACTTCAAAAAATAGTGGTTTTTCGCTAAAGTGCAAAAGATGACTTGAGTATATTTCAGGACCTAGAAATTCAGGCAGTCCTATTGGACGAAGTAGTAGACTCACATGATAAACCTAGCAATGATCACATCATCAAGTTGGAAGTTAAGAGTCTAAGAGACACCAGACAGTTGCTAGAAAAAGTTGGCATCAACGAAGCTTTCCAGTTTGTTGAAGATAACAGGCATCCTAGGCTGTGGTATGTTGAATTATACTGGATTTGATGAAGTGTTGCATATTTTAAAGCTGAATAAATCTGTAGTATACACTTCGATATCAATAGCATAAAATGGAAACTCGAAAATGGGTGAAGCAATGAGTTTTGATTTCAGGAGATTGGTAGCTGAAGCTGCTCTCAAAGAATTGGATCTAACAATGGCAGAAGTATGCTTTGTAAGATCGAAAGATTATGCGAAAATTAACTTTGTCAAAAAATTGAAGGACATAAAGAGTGAAGCTATTAGACGTGCTAAGGTTGCTATTTACTTTAAAAACTTTGACGAAGCTGAGAAAATCGCCATGGAAGCTGACAGAAGGTAAATTATAATTCTTGCAAAAATAAGCAAATGTTTACATACACCAAGAGCCTTAAGATAAACGAGATATTAGGTTCTGAAAAAACCTACAATGTAAAACCAGCTGTTTTTTTACAGAGCGTATTCGAAAATTCTTCCTGAAAAGGAAAGTCACGACTTGTAGACCACCTTATTTTATTCATGCTCAACAAGCACTTTCCTCCATATAACCTCCTCACTTTGTAAAGGGTGCGTCATCTATTACTTTTTTTTTCTATTTGAGAAATCAACACGCTTTTTACGAGGGGAAATCGATTTTTTTATTGATAAATGAAGGTTGGTTTATGCCATTTATGTATGAAAAATAACATCAGTCATGTGACCACCGCGGCTTCGTTTACAGGCCAACATCCGAACATCAAAATTTTCAATGACTTTTCCCAGAATAATCGGGTCTATGGCCGCAATTTCAGTCCAATATTGCGCTTTAGGTCTTGAATTGTCCGGGGACCATTCCCATACACTTTTCCTTTCAACAATCCCCAAAGAAAATAGTCAAGAGGTGTTAAATTAAATTATGCGGTCTTGAAATTTCGTGTGCAATAAGATGATTGTTTGGCGAGATGTGGGAGCCGTTGCTCCGTCTTGATGAAACCAAAGATCGTCGGCACCAATACGATCCAATTGTGGCCACAAAAAGTCTGTTAACATGCCGCGATAACATTCCCCGTTGACGGTAATGGCCTTTTCTTCGGCATCTTCAAAGAAGAATGGTCCAACGATGCCACCAGCCCATAATCCGCACCAAACAGTCACTTTTTCAGGATGGAGAGGTTGTTCGTGATATTGGTGTTGATTTTCAGCCCCCCCAGAATCTGCAATTTTGGTTATTTACGTACCCATTGAGGTGAAAATGAGCCTCATCAGAAAGGAACACTTTGGCCGAAAAGCCGTCTTCTCTTTTTAGCATCCAATTAACAAAAACACACCGCTGTTGCTGGTCTGCTGGCTTCAATTCTTGTGTTAGTTGGATTTTGTATGGATGGAGGTGTAAATCAACGTGTAAAATCCGGCGTAAAATGCGTTGTTGTAAACGAATCCATGCCTATAAATGGCATACCTTTGACAGTTCATTTATGACTTTTGACTCACATGGTAACACATAAACTTATAGGTAACAAAAAAGTAATAAATGGCGCACCCAGTTCAAGGCCCAGATAAAACCGAGTATTGTTCACATGTTTCCGACTGATCGATGCCTCTTTTCTAACGGACAGTCTCGGAATCCTCTCACACAATCGGCGATCCAGCTCTCTTATACCGCTATGTCAACGGGATTTACTCCTCCGCGCGATACGCCTGCCAGACAGACCCTGACTTCGGGCTCCGATCCTAACTGTGTCGAACTTCGTACATCATGAACTGGCCTGTACGATCGCTCTTTTGTCACTAGGGTGTCGAGATTGTGGAACAACCTACCTGATGAGGCTTTTCCTCGTTCTACTAACCTTAGGCGGTTCAAGAAGTTTCCTTTAGCTCCTCATTCAGCCATGGTATTTAGGATTCTACCATCGGTATAGAAAAATATATAAATACAATGGATAACACTATTGTCCTAAGTAGTTATTGGTCAAGTGCAGCAGTAAGTTGTATTATTCCCTGTTTTTAGCGATATGGCATTGAGCCTACGTGAGACTCTTGGAGACTGGTTCAGGGTTATCCAGATATTAAAAAACGGAGTACCAGCACCGGACCATCTTTTGAAAACTGCATATAACTGTACAGCTGATTATTTCGCGCATTTCAACAACTGGTAATGTATTGATTTTAATAAGTGTCGCTTGATTGAAGATACTTTAGGGGTGGGGCACAGGTTGATGAAATAACGGCACATTTTTTTTTGAACGAATTTCAGGGCATCGGCAGTAGAATACTACGAACTAGCCAAAAACACTCCTAAGGTAATAGAATGCTACTGCCAGCTAGAAGACTGGAAGCGCCTGGAAGCTACGATAGATACTCTTCCGGAAAAGCATCCACTCTTACTGCCAATTGGAGATTATTTTGCAGCGAACGCAGTTCATAGTGAAGCTGTCAAAGCGTATGGAAAACTCGGCAAAATAAAGCTGGCCATACAGCTGTGCATATCACATAACCGATGGGATGTTGCGATCGAGCTAGCGAAAACGTACAATATATCAGAAATTGCTGACTTGCTATTGAAGTACACAGACCATTTGGTGGAACAGGGCCAGCTTTGGGAGGCCATACAAATGAACTATCAAGCTAAGTTTTACTATAATGCTGGACAGCAAGCCTTTAAGGTATTTTATCTCAATAATCTCTGCAGTGACCTGTTATCCACGCTTTTCCTTCCCACGCCTACTGTTTTCCTTCAAAACAAGGATAAACATTTTTTTAAAATTACCGAAGCCTAGAAAGATTGATATTCAACTCAAGTTGGGTACTTTATTTTGAAGTTTCATTTATACCATTTATGTATGAAAAATAATATCGCTCAAATGTTCACCACGACTGGATTTACAGACGTTCACGCGATGGTCGAAATTTTCAATGACATTTTGCAACATGGTCGGTTCTATGGCATTTATCTCGGCAATGATGTTGTTTTTGAGTTCTTGGAGAGTGGCTGGTTTGTTGACGTAGACTTTGCTTTTCAAATATCCCCATAAAAAGAAGTCCAAGTGAGTCAAATCGCACGATCTTGGTGGCCATGGCACATTTCCTCTGCGCGAAATCACGAGATCACCGAAGAAGGACTGCAATCGATTGATATTGACGTTGGTTGTGTGGTATGTTGCACCGTCTTGTTGGAAATAAACATCGTCCATATCCATTCCTTCAAGTTGCGGCAAAAAATAGTCCTCTATCATCACGTGATATCGCTCAGAATTGACGGTATCGCCGTCCCCGGCCGCATTTTCGAAAAAGTAAGATCCGATGATGCCTTTTGACCACAATGCACACCACACAGTCACTTTTTGAGGATGCATCGGCTGCTCTTGATACTCACGGGGATTTTCGTTCGCCCAGATGCGGCAGTTTTGCTTGTTTACCGTCCCATTCAAAGTGAAATGCGCTTCATCGCTGAACATGATTTTTGATGAAAAATTGGCACCAATTTGGCGGTGTTCAAGGAGCCAATCTGAGAACGTTCGGCGCGAAAAATGGTCGGCCCGACGCAGCTCTTGCGTCAATTGGATCTTGTAGGCGTGTAAATTCAAATCCTTGTGGAGAATGCGGAGCAAACTGGTTCTCGAAATGCCCAATTCTTGGGATCGACGCGTTGTTGATTGTTTCGGATCGTCTCTCACACTCTCCTTCACAACAGCAATATTTTCCGGTGTGCGAACGCTCCTTGGCCGGCCAGAGCCTGGCAGATTTTCCACAGAACCTGTTGCCTCGAATTTACGCACCAGACGACCGATGGTTGTTTCGTTTGGGCGGTTGTTGCGACCGAAATGTTCACGAAGCGCGCGAAACGTGTTTTTTATTTTTGCACCATTTTTGTAGTGCTCTTGAATAACTTTAATGCGGTCTTCAATCGAATACGACTCCATAGCGATCAATGGTAAACATTCAACTAACAAAATGACATGTCGGTGACAGAAAACAAAGATGGCGTCTATGTAAATTGACGTTTACTTTCCTGCGTCCCTATTGGACAACCCTTTATATGAATTGAAGTGCAAACCGTCGCCTACAAGATTTCGAGGTTGGTTCATTTTAAAAGTTTTCAACGTTGCTTAGAAGCGAACTTGATTTTTGCAGACGAAAAACCACGTCAAACATTTCAGTCGGTCTGACTATCAGCTAATCCTTGGGCCGTTTATAACTTTGAAAACACAGCTCGGATTTAGATAAAACTTTCAAACAAGGTTACTACTGTGCCGAAGACAAAAAAGCTTTGTAGTTTTTGAAAATCGGTCCAGTAGCGGCGGAGAAAGATGCCAAAATCGAAAAAATAAAACTCGCGTCGTCATCACTTGAAGCAACATAATGCTTTCGTAGCCACACTGCGTGAGGTACATATTTACTGACATATGTACCTCACAAAAATGAAACTAGGATAAGGTACATCGGGGATATGTTTTGTGATATGCTAACTTCACGCGAGTTGAGCTTTTTTTTCGTTTCTTTTACAAACATGTGATCTGTTTTTAGGTAGCTAAGCAAGATTCAATGAAAAAGGAGAGAAACCTTGTACGTATTTATAAATACTATGTTTACGCTGCTAAATTGATGGATCTTCAAAAAGTCAAGTCAGAGGGAAGTGGTGAGTGTGAAAACTACCGTAGATGCTTCAAAATATCTTAAACAAGCCATTTCGACCCTGCCATGGCAGTACTTGAAATGCCGTACGAAATAAGTAGTGAATATGTTACTTTAACTTTTTACGCTTTCGGTGTTGCTTTATCCCACAAATTAACTTTGTTAGTTCAAACGTAGTTGTTTCTAAAAAGAAAATTCCTAACTTTCAGGACACTCTGTATAGTTGTGTCCACAGTACGTAGGCTTATTTTCAGACAGGACTTTGAATTGGGTTGTATATTTTCTAACTTTCAGGACACTCTGTATAGTTGTGTCCACAGTACCTAGGCTTATTTTCAGACAGGTCTTTGAATTGGGTTGTATATCTTCTGGTGAAATATGTTAATAGCTTCAGAATGATCGAGAGTCACTTCTTGAATTTCTGCCTTATTTTTAGAGACCACTCAGTATATTCCAAATAATCTCTTTTAGGTGACTGGCAGCCCGCGGATCCGCACTTATATGAGAATTCATGGAGGGGAGCTGAGGCATATCACTACTATATGATGTCTCAAAGATATCTCTATAGTGGGAAGTTACATGACGCTCTTTGCGTATCATACAAACTGCAAGATTATGTTAAATACATTCCAGAGAAGGACGTTTATTTACTAATCGCCCTAACAGCTTGCCTTGACAGATCGTTTGATATTTGCTCCAGGGCTCTTATCAAACTGAAAAGTCTGAGAAATGTGAGTGACGCTTTTTTCATAATCACATTGTTGCTCCTTAACATGAATTCAGAGATTTGCCCTTAAAATGCAAAAAAATATTTTTTGCAGTTTAAAAATAAAAAACAATTTTTTTAATATCTTCAAAACCGTCCACTGGAATGAACTAAAATTTTGTATGTGGATTTATCTAAGTCTTGTATGTGCATTGTTTCCGTAAAAATAAAAAAAAACAAATCGGGCACCGTTATAAGAAGCACTGTACGTTGTTTCAGAGTACCCCTGAAGAACAAGAGAATTACAAGAAACTTGCCTGGGATATTTTCAGACAAAATGAACCAAAAAACGTCAAAGAAAAACATTTGAAGTGTGACAGTTGTGACGCACTTGTCCCAGACTGGTAAGTTTTATATTAGGTGTCCCATTTTAAGCCTACGAAAGCTACGCATCCTAGAAAAAAGTTTCAAACAATATTTGTAAGCTTTCGGTGGGGCAGAATGATGGTGACCTTGTACCGCGATCTTCAAGGTCATGTCAGGGTCAAGCTAATATTTTCTAATGGAACTCCCGCTTTTTACACAAGAATCCCAATGTGACCTTGACCTCAAATACCATTGAAGTTTGACACGAGGTTGACGTCATGGTGTGATTCGAACGTAAAATATCCTGATTTTCCAAATTCCTGAAAGAAATGAGGTGGTTACCTTTCATCAGAGTGTGATTTTAAATCGAGCTAGAATGAGATTAGGTCTAAAGATACGACGTGCGTCATTACTGTCATAGGCGTCACTCACCGCGCAGGTAAACCGAACTGTTTGTGTATAAATAGGATTTTCTCAAACTGAAAATTATAATAACGAACTTGTCGATTTGACCGTAGTTTGCGGTGAACATCACTAAGATGCTGCTGATGCTTTCCCGAACGTTTCCAAACCGCACTGTTTTCGCTGCTGCTTTTGTTTCAAAAAAATATGAAAATGATTCAAATATTAAAATATTACTTTGCAAACTAGTTAGTAACCGGTGTGACGTGAAACTACTTTTCTTCAGGAGTACCTCGTGTGCACACTGTGGAGTCCATTATCCCAGCTGTGTAGCATCTGGCAGGTCGATTATTGGAGGTGAGCAAATATGGATTTGTAAAGAATGCAGACACGCCTCATTGAAGAGCAAAATGCATTTCCAAAATAGTTGTCCTTTGTGTCATGCAAAGATTTAGTTGTTTTGATTTTCATTCCGATTGTTCCGTCCACAACAAGCAAATCAAGCTTTTGAGATACTGGTCCAAAAGAGAAGGCCATAGGCACCCGCATCAGGGGGGGGGGCAGGACTGTGCCCCGCCACTTTTGAGAATTTTCTACCCGCCGCTCCTCAAAAAGTTTTGGGGGCAGATACACTTCAACAAAAATTCATGCGGGCACCCATGGCAGCGGTCACTATTTTGTCGAGCTAACTATAGTCAGAATCAATTGCAACTGTCTCTTTCATGTGAAAATTGAAGCACCTCTGCCTGAGTTGAATGATTTTTTGATTTATATCGCTCTTCAAATTTTCCCTGGCGCAAAATATTGATGAAAACTGGATCTCAAAACTTGTTTTGCAAAGTTGTTTTTGTTGTATGTTCTTTGTCCGTTGTTTGAAATAAAAATTCGTTTATTTTTTGGTAGCATTTTATTATAAATGTCTGAAAAACACGAACTCTTATAAAAAGTTGAAACTGTTGTGAAAGACTGCACTAAAACAGCGTGGATCAATAAAAATGCTAAGTACCTATTATTGTTAATATACAGTTTTATTTCTCATGTCACTCTGCAAGATGGACAGGGCAAGTCGGATATACTGCTCAAAGTAAGACTTAGGAAGACACTAAAGGTAACATTTATAGACGTTTCTTGAGGGTTGAGTGTCATTTGAGCAAGGGATCATCTCTCTTTGGACTGAAAAAAGATAGCAATGCTTTCTTGATGAGCGTTTAAGGCATTTTACATAAGGCTGTGACCAGTGTCATCAAATTTTTAAAAGCTGTGTTAACAACTTTTAAAGCCTTTTGCAACTCTTAATTGGCACTCAGCCCTTAAGGGTGGACTATAAATGCAGGTCTTGCCACAAAACTTCATCTGACAGTCAAAATAATATTACAAAATATCCTCTAGTATCTGATCACTTTGTTCTACTGACATTTCGTGGCCTCCATTTTCCAACAAGTTAGCATCATCCATTCAAGAAAATGGTATAACGTTCGGCAACGCGGCAAATTACAGCCACGCTCTACGCCCTCTCTCGCACACATTGAAAGTGGTGCTCAGAAACGTAAATGAATTTCACTGAGAAGGAAATCAAAATCACTCATAACCACTGACAATTGTATATGGTTATTTTAACTGACATTCAAAAAAATTCAGTCAAATGTACCATATTTTATTTTTTTATACTCCAACTACCACGAAGGCCTAAGGCCTAAACACCCATGAGGTGCCGTGGGGCTATAGACGCAACATGCACACATTCTGGCCGCCCCGCCTACGAGATCCGCCGGGTGGTACCTCCGCGTTCGACAGTCATAGACCGTCTACCATCTACGGATAATCACAACACCCATGGCCAAGACAAAAATTTCTCTTGGGACCACTGCGGCCACTGCTGCTGCCTATTCTTTTTTTTTATACTCCAACTACCACGAAGGCCTTTTTTTCTTTTTTTTATACTTCAACTACCACGAAGGCCTAAGGCCTAAGCACCCTTTGGGTACCGTGGGGCTATAGGGGGATACATGGGAAAGGGGGAACGCCACACGGTCTCTGGCGAGGGAACACGTGTGCATGCAACATGCACACATTCTGGCTCCGCCTACGAAATCCGCCGGGTGGTACCTCCGCGTTCGACAGTCAGAGATCGACTACCACCTACAGACAATCACAACACCCAAGGCCAAGAGAATAATTTCTCTTGGGACGGGATGCGAACCAGCGCAGCGCACGGCGACTGATCAGGAGACCGAAGCATCTACCACTGAGGCCACTGCTGCTGCCTATTCTTTTTTTTATACTCCAACTACCACGAAGGCCTTTTTTTATTTTTTTTATACTTCAACTACCACGAAGGCCTAAGGCCTAAGCACCCTAAGCATGCAACATGCACACATTCTGGCTCCGCCTACGAGATCCGCCGGGTGGTACCTCCGCGTTCGACAGTCAGAGATCGACTACCACCTACGGACAATCACAACACCCAAGGCCAAGAGAAAAATTTCTCTTGGGACGGGATGCGAACCAGCGCAGCGCACGGCGACTGATCAGGAGACCGAAGCATCTACCACTACGGCCACTGCCGCTGCCTATTCGCTGGAGACAGCAAATCTTTGGATTTGAGACTTTAGTTTCATGTCAGTATTACCATATCGTTCTTAGCAATGTAATCCAAATGACCCTGTCTCAGTATGGAAACTTAAAACCTTTTTTCAACAGTACACGCAATTATTCACTTATTAAACATACTTAAAAATAATGCAAACATTAGCAGCTCAAGCAATGTTACCACAACTCAAGTCTTTTATCACTAAATGAACATATTAGTGGCAAAATGATGTACGATTTGGTTTGAGTAAATTCATCCTTAAAGTTGTAGTAAATAGTATTAGAACTTGTGGTATGGCAGACATTATTTCATTGATGGAAAACATAAGTAGCGTATATATACAAATACATACATATTTATGAGATCGTCCATTGTTTTTATTCCAGTTTTAAATCCTGTTTTTGTTTTTGACTAGTGCATAGATAGTATAAAATATGTTTGATAAGTTCCCTTTAAGAATACCTTTCGGGGCTCCCCTATGGAAATACAGCATGTCCCGGAATCACATATCAATCTAGATGACAAAAATAGTTCTAGCATTTCTATAAATTGTAACTAAACGGCATGGTGTTGGAAGTCAAAATACGTAACAAAAACAGGATTCAACTGCTCAATCAGATAATGTGCTGAATGAAAGACTTTCCACAAATTCAGATGTACTTCATGCGATGACTTAACAAAATAATACAAAATATATACAAAACAAACTGTGAATATTACAGATTTATAAAAGTTGAAATAATCGATTCACGCATAAACGCGATAAAAAAGAGTGAATACCTACGCGTGATTTTTTCAAAGGTAGTTTTTTGAAAAGAACAGTATTTTATGCTTTTGGGAAAAATGAATCTCCTATAAGTTATAAATCGCCTTACTCATCATGTCTAGTACAAATTTGATGAGAACATTAAAAATAATCGTTGACCAAAGTTGAAAAAACAATCCAATGAAAATTACCCACTTTAAAGACTTTTTCTGTTTCTTTTTCTAGTCTCACCTTGTTTATTCACAACTTTTAAAAATTTGAAACCCAAAAAATTTGTCTTAAAAAACATAATACAAACATCAGATATGTTTGGTATATACTTCTCAAGGACATGACATTCAAATGGAAAAATTGTATCATTACATTATACATTGTGTCACAGTCACTCTCAGAAAAACACGTATATACATATATGCAAGAAAGATATAAACCCAATGAATTCACGCAAAACAAAAGATGCAACGGGCACAAGAGTAAACAGCTAACGAACAAAAATAATTTTGTTACGTAAATGCGTATCCACAACCGTTTTCTATACAGTTCCATCACACCATGACATACAGTAGGGTGAGTTTTTGGTGTGGTTAACATCATGCTCCTTACTTGGAAAATATTTTTATTTCTACAGGTTGATTAATAATTACGTGGTGACACAAATATACATTTTTTAAATGGAAAGACCTATATTACAGATTCGGCCCTTCAAAACAAAGTATTTTGACAACATACTACAGGGTTCTATTTTCAAACTGTTGAGGTATCTAAAAAACACTTAATATTGATAACTGGCACCTCTGCAACTGTTAGTTAGAGAAATGATTTTTCCTCAGAAAAATTTCATGGGCCTATATTTTCTCCCTATCTACTTACTTTTTCAATGTATATTTTCACACTTTTTGATTTCTCTTTTCACGTGATTTTTCTGATGTAAGGTTATGAGAGTTCGTACAACTAGTTTTTGAGTTGCTGATAACACAGGGATACCTTCATGACTTTCCGAGTATATTACATAAGGTTAGGTAGGTTTACTTTATAATGAAAATACACAAAAACTAAAAATCTGCCGTTACTAACTGAATGCTATTTTTATTTGTACAAATTCCCATAAACTTATATTGAAAAAAAGCTCGAGAAAAAAATAATCAAAAAGTGAGAAACCATACAGGGTGTTCCATTTGAAATTTTTGAGAAATCGTTCATTTTGCGTTCGCAATCAAAGTTGTGGGTCTTTTTGGATAGATTGTCCAACATCTCAACAATTTAGAAATAAAACCCTATATTATGTTGCATCAAATTGCTTCGTTATAAAAAGACCTCTCTGAATCTAATAAAATGTAGGTCTTTCCATTAAAAAAATGTATGTTTGGGTTATACATATTTCACCCTGTAGAAATAAAAATATTTGCAAAGTAAGGAGCTGGCTACAATTTTGGTAATTAATTTTTTTAGATACCATGCATGATGGAGTTATCGACAGAGCCCATACTAAAAACTAACACTGTATATCAAATAAAATCGGTAAATTAAATGTTTAACGGTCTTATTGTAATCAAACACAATCATGATGCAGATAATGTACTAAAAGCCAAGCATTTTACTTTAGTCCTAGATTGATGAGGACAGTGTTGTGGTCTGGTACCTACCTAACAATTTTTTTAGCATTGTCTGCATCATCATTGTGTTTCTTTGAAAAAAAGCCGTTCAACTTATTTTTTACTAATTTTATATAGATACCTAGATTTTAGTTTTAATGTATTGTCTGTCTAAAATCAGAATATTTCGTTTAAACGCAATTTTGGCAAACATTTTTCATAAAGGAAACTGTGTCCTACCTGTCAAGCCTTTCGATTTAATAATAATATCTGAGGGATCGAACAAAATAATCTTGGATTTAATTTTTTTTTCTGGATTCATAATCTACTAATTCTGAGCCACACTATAGGCACTACAGTGAAAGATGAATACAACCATGAAAGTGCGCCGTTGTGGATATGCATTACTGCTTCGGCGCGAATGTGGTTTATGGATACTTCGGTTTACAGAACCAAAATAATAATTAATAATGAGTACTTGAAAGGCCGCATCATTTTATTTAAATACATACAACCCCTACAATTAAACAAATTATATCATATTCTAGAATTATAGTAAAACAATCACTTGGGACAGTTCAGCTGCGGTTCGGTTTTGCCATTACTTGTCACAATATATACAAATCAAATCTTGTCAAAAAGGACTAGAAAAATTGCGAACATTTCATAATAACATATAAAGTATCATTATATACACAACTGAATACAGTGCTGATTTTGTACATAATAATGATAAAAAAGAATCTCCAATATGGACAACCAAATTGAAAACGAACCTGTTTGCAACTCTTTATGTTTAGATCGACATGACAATAGTATCAGGTACTATGGTATAACTTATGTCAAACAATTAGCCACTTCTCAAATATTCCAGATATCAAATCTTCAACTTGAGTTTTAGCACACAACCATCATACAGTCAAAGTGAAATAAGGATTAAATTTTAGTTAGTAGTTCCCTCTCTCTATGCAATCCGCTCTATGCTCAGTTCGAGCGAGTAAGAAGGATTTACGTGTGATTGATGTTGTCAAGTTTCTTGCAAAGCTAGGCAAAATAGTCGTGGGCTTTTTGAGTGTTTGGAGCAAGTTTTCGGAGACAGTTCTCTGAGGGAACCAACCGTCGACAAGTGCTCTGAGGAAATGTTGAGCGAATTCGAGGCTGTGTTCTTAAATACCGTCGATTGTCAGTTAGAATGATAGCAATCCTCAAAACAAGTTATTATTCCCCTTTTATACGTATTTTCCGAACAAACCTCGTATACAGGGAGGTATTCAAGTAAAACATATTTACAGTGGCATCCTTTAGTGGCCTGAATCTCCAAAATTAATATAAAGTTCAAAGAATCGCCACTTGAACGTTTGCCCAATATTTTGAAAACGCCCTGTATCGAATTATATGTTTAAGCAATGTGTCTCTATCAACTTGAGGCGTGGCCAAATTGTTTGACATAAGTATAAGGTATTGCAACTAATGGTAAAATCTTATCGCTCTCTCATACTTAGTTTTGGATATATTTTAAATCACAGATATTCATTATACCACCATGGAGCGAAAATGAACGCAATATAATATATACTTGAAGGCCGATTGAACAAATTTCATTCACAGTACTTCATCATGTTTTGATGTACATTGAGGTAAACAGCTGATCATCAAGTGGCATCTTGTGCTAAAAATCTGTTGGTAAGGTGAAACTCAGAACGATTTAAACCAAATTTAATTTCACATACACTTTTTCATTGTGTCAGAGTTGTGTAACTTGACGATATGGGAAATTTTGAATATCACTAGATGATCAGCTGACATTTTTATGGCGTTTTGATGTGATAAAGTATAGTGGGAAACAGTATAGCATGATTAAGATTAAAATGCGAATCCTTGATCCCAAACAAGAACAAATACACTATTTTTCCGAGTATCCGTTACGTTTTGACGTCTACTGAGATAAGCAGCTGATAAAGTGACACATTTGACTCTGTGTACCAAATATAGTCAAAAACTGTTTATGCTGTTTTATTTTTACCTGACTAGCAAAATAGTCACGATCATTAGCAGCAATTTTGGTTATAGCGTTTTCTTTTACGTGTGTGACTAGCGTTGACAGATCCATCAGAATGATTATCACTTCTCCATATGGGATATTTTTAAACATTACTAGAAAATCGGCTGTTATTTGTACGTAATAGACACTCGTGAAAAATAGTTTATTCGGTTGGAGAAAATAAATTGGGATCTGTCTTGATACGAAACTATAAGTATTAAAATCTAGTTTACTATAAAGCTGTAGCAGTCAGATAAATCCTTGACCAAAAATATAAAGTTTGAATAAATATATAAATAAATTCCTCATTCCAGATTTGATGATATTCACCAAACTGTCTCTTAAATATCGTTGATTGTACTCATAAGCCTCCATTTATTTGGATTGTTTTTCTATACTTCTACCTATATTAGCAAACATAATTAATAAACACATCATCATAACAGCGTTGAAGTATTACCATAAATGCCCTTAGAAAAATAAGGCGAAAAATTCGTGGGAGTACTTCATCCTTCTCAAAATCACGTTTATTATAGCCGTCTTACACAATCAAATAAATTCACGAATAAATTATCAAAAAAAAATGATGAATTTATTCAAACAGGTAGCAAAATTGATTAAACTAATTCAAGTGAAGTATGAAAATACACATATAGTAACTTCCTATATTACCAACATCAGGGAAAAAATACCAAAACATAACCAATAAAAACATGACAGTATACTTACCGAGTTTCTGTTATTAAATTAAATCCTAAATCAAAACTAAAGCATAACCAAGGTTGGTACCTAGGAAAATGAATCAAAAGTAACTAGAATTCTCCAAAAAATTAACGGAAAATTAGAACAAGCCCTAATCTGGCAATTTATTAATAAATTTATTGTTGCGAAGAAATTGACAATTTTTATGTTTACACGCTCCAATTTCTTGAATTTTAAAAAAAAATGTTCATTTTATTGGATCAAGTAAAGCTGCTATTAGGTGCCCCTTAATAAGTATCAAGAGTTTGCAATTTTTTTCAAACAAATTACAAAAGACAAATGTTTTTATACTCGGGAAAGTGTTATAAAAGCTTTTGTGGATCGCTCTGAACAAAAATATCATTAGTAAGCTACTTGGCAACCTCAAAAATAATAATTGACGCGGTTTTTAAGCACTCAAAATTGCCGATTTCAGTATGTAAATCGCTTATTACTCGAAAACAATCAACATTAGAGACAAGTTCGACGAACGTGATTATAGAAAAATTAGTCGGAAAAGTTCTCCACCAAATGCGAAGTTTTCGCCTTATCTGTAAACCAATAATCAACAAAAGCATTCAAAAATGTTATTGGGATGTACTGCTAAAATAACTGAATTTTAAGGCCACTTTTGTACTATTCTAATACTAGAGCAGCTGCGGCATAACTGACAGAGGAATCGTTCATAGTACGACATTTACTTGACTGCGCGTACTTCAAGAATTTTAACGTAGCGTTCTGAGTGCTATCATTCCTGAGTAGTTCCTGAATAGCCTGTATGGAAAATACCTATTACCTAACAGCAAAAAGGAGCACACAGGACGAAGTCACGATACACATACATTGAAGATAGGATATTGCGCAAGTGGGCGGAGCTTTGTGACGTCACCCGGAGAGTTGTCGGCTCGTGGTTACCAGCGGCAGGATTGTCGTAACGTTACTGCAGTTCACGTGTATCGCGGTCAATACTATTTAGTGCGACTTGTTGGTGTTTTCTGGTGGTTTTGTGACCCGTTCTATTAGCTATACATACTTTATATACCCTGTGATTATACTAAATTGATAAAAATGCGGTGACAACCAATCTAAACGGAATCCTTGCAAAGACATGAAGTTCCACAGCACGAGGAAGTTTTAGTGGAAGAAATGCTCCACAGAACATACTAAAATATAAATAATGTGAAAAAACCTTGTTTTTACAGTAAAGTGGCGATACACGGTCTATTGTGGAGCTAGAAAGCCGTTTAAGCTATAGCCTGTGAGTTAGGAATTACAAGGTTGAAATCTTTCATTTAAATCCGCCATTTTGTTTTGCATGAAATTTTAATGTAGATTGTGTCACTCGCATCGCTAAGACGAATCCAACGACACTTCATATGTGAAAATCCGTCCAGCCGTTTGGCCTGTAAGTGAAAATATGCACGTTTTCCATATCAACCCAAATGATAATCACTCTCCGCGTGACGTCATGCGCGCCGGTGGACGAAAATCGAACATCCGGCACTGGGACGAAGTAGAGATATGCGGTTAAACTCAAAGTGGGGGAAAGCCTAAAGTGTCAACGACGAAGGCGGGGCGCTCTCGTATTTACACTGCGCAGGAAATGGATTGCAGATACTGCGTATGTGGCGACTTTTTCATATCGAAATCTCTCTGTTTCTGTCATCACGAACATAAACAAATCCAATGTTGACAGTTCAGATGAGTTGCAAGCAGAAATATTGCTTAATATCACTAAACCAAAAGAAGCACGAATAGGTATCTTCCCTTAGGGAGTTTAACCTGCAATGTCCTTAGTATTCGTGCGTTGTCCTTTCAATAGGTTTGACACTGCATTACTGTGGTCCACGTTATCACATTTAATAACAAAAACAGAGCCATCTATGAGCGAACAGCTAAACCGGCAAACTGCCAGACAATTTAAGTTAGGTAAAGACATAAAAAATATTACCGAATTCGTCGTGATAACAAACTGAATCAAAATGAGGGAGCTAATGTCGATTTAGAATCTCTGATGATCTTGAGTCGTGCGCTTGGCGTTAAACTGTTTATAATCGGGAATTCCGCAACGGCCGTGCGGCCGTGACCTTGACGAAGTTTCAACTTTCTGCCGGGGTACAAAAAAAAACAAAAGTTACGTTAGCTAGTATCTCTTGTGGTCTGTCAACCAGAGTGATCTGCAGACAAGTTTAGTCTTCAATATGTGGAAAAGGATGCAATTTTGGGTTAGGTTCTGCAAGTTTATAAATTTTTTTCAATTGCCAGAGGCAACTTTATGGTACTCACCTGAAGAAGAATTCCTATAGGATGCCGCCCACAAATCGTATTGCCATATTTTTTCAGGTAGTTAGTGAACTCAGTCGGATCTAAGTTTTCTATGATATTCATGCCCTAAAATATGCAGAAAGGTCCAGGGTAATTCTTTATTATTATTCTTTTCGAATATTTTCACGAACTTTTCAGTTTGAATCGTTGTTTTTCTGCCTTACTAGGGAGGTTTAAAATTGCCAAATTTGATCTCTACTATTTTGGTAAGAAAGGAGAAGTTTTGACAATCGTTTTTTTACTGCGCGACCAGCGATGAATATTGTTTTCCTTCTTAGTGTTTTCAAAGGCATTAAATCACTGACTCTGAAATTCCTACGAATCGCCGTCATCAGTTCATAAAGAACTAAACTTCAGCACACGTTAAACACTCTGAAAAAAAGAGTCAACATTGGAACAGACTGAATGTGATTTTATTTTTGTTCAATCCGAGGCTCCCTTATGTAAAGGATTCTGATGGCACTTTTGCCGTATTTGTAAATACGGAAATGATTCCTGTTTTAAGGCACATTTTTTGAAAACATCGTCTTTTACTGATACCAAAGTTGCAACATGTACAATTCCCTAACCCCCAAATTTCAACCCTTCAAAAATTTTCTGAAAATGAACAGGAGTCTGAAACGTCAAAAAACGAAGATTTCTTTTTTCGTTTTTTGCTTGTAGCTGAAAATCCCAGTGGTACTTTTCGAATTATAGAAAAGCCAATACATAGCGATCTACCAATCATAACCGGTCTTGTCTGGTTTTAACTTTCACATTTTAAGCGACGCGGTCTGTAACAGCTGTCACATGATGACGTCATTGCTAGTGACAGTTAAAACCAATAACAACCTTGCCCAGATGGTGGTTTCTATGCGGTTCTGAATGTCAAATATCAACCCATGACCCGTATAGTTTTTCGTCCAAAAAACATATCCCATTTTCAGGAATTTTCGCGATTGAAATATCTTATCAATAGGCGTGGCACAGAAAATGATGTGCAGGTTTTACGTACTTACCACTCTGTCTAATCCTTCAATTGACTGGTAAATATTCCCGTATGTCCGATCGTAATACGTATATCTAAACCTGTGACCCCAATGGCAAAAGTCCGATGATATAATAAAGAGGTTCTTTGGGTCAGCTAAGTAACTTGACAGAATTCTGCCATAGCAGGCCTCTCTGTCAGGGCTGAGAGATCCAACGAGAATAGGAACAACGGTAAATTGATTTTTAAAACTAAAACAAGTAGGATGTTAAACAGTGACCTACAAATACACAAAAATTGTTTGCCACTTACTTTTCCATAACTTTCGCTACGTATGGTAGGTGCATTTCAATGCTGTGTTCATTTTCGTCTGTATCCAAGTCCATCCATTCAAACTGACCTGTCATTTCTAACTCGCTGTTGACTAGAAAAATAACTCATAGCAGCTACAGGGTATTCAAATCTCATTCACGCCCCGCAAAAGCAGCACACTCCTATTGGCCCAGCCTGCTTGCTTGTTGCAAATGTTTGCTTTGATACGGGGTAAATGAGGTGTGAATAGACTATAGGTTGCTCATGAACAAAGCCTCCACAAACCTTATGGAAATCCTTTTTGATTAAATCAGTAACCTGTACTATTTAGATTCACAAAACTAAGTTCAGTGAACAATTGATTTAGTATCAGTTAGAGACCACTCACTAGAGTGATGCTCTGCATATACAGGGTGGCCCATCCATGTGTGGGCGGAATATTACTCATAAGCAAATACATTTTGGGAAAATATAATTATGGGATGTTATACACGACATTTGAGGGCACATTTCTAAAATATTGACCTTTGTGCAGGGTGTCTCAATTTCGACCTACACATCAAACTTGTGATTTTTCAAATAGAATGCCTTGATACGTAGGTCAAAATTGGGACACCCTGTATAATTGCCAATATTTTAGAAATGTGCTCTCAAATGTCATGTATAACATGCCATAAATGGATTTGCCCAAAATGTATTTGTTTATGAGTAATATTCCGTCCACACGTGGATGGGTCACCCTGTATATTTTTTTAATATAGAACAAAGATATGGAATTAACACAATTGTTCATGCTTACGATCAAATATTATTCGCAAAAATTTATTTTTCATGAAGGTTGAGTGGGTTTCTTCACTCCGTGTCTTAACAATGTTGAAATGTATGACGATTATTTTAAAATGTGTATGAGCAAACGAATCTGTGCTACCATTCAATTTTACTTTTAAGTGCCGTTGCTCATTTCAACATTGACATGACACCGAAGTAGATTTTCGTTTCAGAGTCAAATTATACTATAAATATATGGATAAACTTCTCACTGTTATTATGAAAAATACAGACGGACTCGAACTATAAGATTACCTTGTCTCATCCCTCAACCATGATAGAGTATTTTTAGAATCGTTGGACAATATGTGCAGCATATAACATTTCGACAACATCATTAGCCTCATATAATGAAAACATGCTACTAAAAATCATATCCACAATATTAATAATACTCTTTTCGGCCCGTTCCACCAACCATGTACAGGGTGGCCAATTAAGAAAGCGAGGTATTGAATCTGGGAACCTATCCACCGTATACCCGATTTCACGAGTATCCATCACGCTTTTGACGTCTACCGAGGTGAACAGCTGATTTTTGTGTTAGTCTGCAAAGTTGGCCTATAATGAATCGGGTGTAAATCTAGGAAATATTTGTTTGTAGCGTTTTGGGTTTTGTCTGCAAATGAACTTTTCTCAATAAATGAGCTTTTAGCAAGTACAAAATGAATCAATCGTACAAAAAACCAAAACAGTATGGTTCTGTCTACTAGGCAATGACGGATCAGTCAGAATTATGTGTCCTTTGTCGATATGGGGAATTTTGCAATATTACTAGATAACCAGCTGTCATTCTACCAGGATGGATACCCGATAAGTAGGGTATAGAGGCTTGCGGCAAAAAAAATTCTTAATGAAACGGCCAAGAGAAAAACCTGGAAAATATATAATACAGTGGAATAAAAATAAAAAAAATCATACCAATGCATTTAATTTCTTTGAGAAAATTAACCATTTCTATCGGAATATCTAAAAAAGCCATCTAGCGGCGACAAAATTTGAACAAGAATACCTCTTTCCAACTAGCCCAAGTTTGTTAGAATCGGCTCAGCCGTTCAGAAGATACAGGGTGTTCTTTACGGAAACCTTTGAACACCCCCCACCACTTTTTTGAGATACACCAAACATTGTCAAACAAAAAAGTTCGCATTATCCTCGACTTTGAAGATCGGGTACTTTTTAGTTAGGTCAATATAGCGGAATTCACATAAACATAACTTTTGTAGATTCAAGATTGCGGTTAGGTCCCCTAACGACCATTTCAGACACTTGAAAATATTTTCCAGGTTTTTCTCTTGGCCGTTTTTGCCGTAAGCCTCTGCGATGGATAGGTTCCCATATACGGAACCTCGCATTCTTAGTCCAGCCGTTTCATGCTTGGCTATCAGCACAATCAACATGCTATTTTTTTTTTAAGTTTGCATTTTACGAGTACATTATCAAATAATGAAATAATACCTAAGAGCCAAAAATAACAAACTCCATCTTTATTTACACTGCGTTCCGTCGTAATGTGTCTGGCATTGCGGCGTTGTCAGATTTTATTTTACTTTATCACCCATTTAAATAATGACTATCATAATGTTTACACCCTGTATACTTATGTATATTAATGACCTTTCCGTGCAGCTAAGTGAAACGCACCTATTCTTTGCTGATGATTTGAAAACAGTTTGTGAAATAAGAAATGTCAATGATTGTATTGCACTGCAATAAGATGTCAATAGCTTATGCAACTGGTGTGGGGGCAGCAAACTCGGCATAAGCATAAGCAAATTTTTCTCATCATATCAAGAACACTAAACTACAGAGATGTCAATCCTTCGAATAAGGTATATAAGAACTAAACTAGAGTATGCCTCATTAATCTGGTCACCATTGTATCAAAATCCAACCTCAGAGATAGAATCAGTGCAACGCAAGAGCATTTTAAAGTTTATGGATACTACCCTGAAAAGGGTTATTCACACAACTCACTACTTCAATTATTCAATTATGACACTTTAGCCTACCGTCGTCATATTAATGAGGTTACAGTTCTGCATAACTTAACAAATAATAAGTTGGATTGCCCAGCATTACTTTTTAAAATTAATTTTGCCGTACCTGAAAGAGTTACACGCTATACTGTACCTGTTTACAGCCCAAATGGCAAGACAAATATCTCAGATATGCCACCTATAAATAGAATTGTGCAGTTCTTTTAATAAATTATGCTGTGTATTGGTATTTATCCGGTTTCCTTATTTGTCTTTTATAGAGTAACTATGTAACCGTATATGTTTCACTAAATTCTACGCTCCTTATCAGTGTTTTATATAGTAACTGTGTAACCATATTCAACATTTTATTATACAGGGTGTTCCTTAATGATATATAATGATTTTATCGGACAATAGAACGGTTTTTATTTTTTTATCTGTAATATATTGTGTATTTGGAATATTAATTGATGGTTGCAAGTTTTTACTAAGGGTCGGGTTTGGACACCTATTTTTCACATCAGAGGTATGTAAGTTTTTTAACAACACTTTCCAACTACAGTTTGTGAGTAAGTAAAGTATACTAAGTGACATATAAATCTGAACACCCAGTTTAAATGGTTTTATTTTAATAAAAGTTGGTGAATGTATTTATCTTACTGTAAATAACAAGTGAAAAAATTTTCAGCCTGATCAGTTGGACATTCCGGTTTTTATACTGCTTTTTTTTAATTCACTAACGCTCTAAAAATGAATATTTCAGCCGCAGTAAAGAATCAACGTTGGCGGATTTTGGTTCTTGACATCCTTTACGATCGGTTACGATGCCTAGAGTACGGAGACCTGTACGATTTCGTCGACTTTGATAGGGGCCGTATAGTGGGACTTCGGGAAGCTGGACTTTCTTTTCGGGCTATTGTAGACACTGTGGTTAGGTGTTGTCAGGCATGGCTTCGAGAAGGCCGTACGCAAAGAGCAAGGGGCACTGGACGCCGCCGTAGAACAACAGACCGTGAAGATCGCCGCCTAAGATTATTGGCCTTAAGGGACCGTTTCTCCACTACCAGGTCCATTACAAATGAATGGTTTGCAGAACACGGAAGACCTATTGGCATGCGAAGTGTTTACCGACGAATGAGAAGTTTTGGCTTGTTTTCATACCGGCCACACTGGGTCCTCCCTTTAACTCGAGAACACCGACGTAATCGCCTTGAGTGGTGCAGACAACGGTCACTCTGGGATCAGGAATGGAACAGTATTGTCTTTAGTGACGAGTCTCGATTTTACGCATGCACGATGGTCGTGCCAGGGTTAGAAGGCGACGTGGTGAAAGGAGGAATCCACAGTTTTTTGTTGAAAGACATATTCATCACACTGTTGGAGTTATGGTTAGGTGTGCTATAGCTTATGGTTCCAGGTCACCTTTAATCTTCATCAGAGGTAACATGAACGCGCAGCGTTATATCCACGGAGTTCTAGAACCCCATCTTTTACCCTTTCTTGACACCCTGGCAGATCCAACTTTCCAACAAGATAATGCCCGACCACATGTTGCAAGAGTCACAATAGACTTCTTTCAACATAATGATGTCACATTGTTACCATGGCCACCAAGATCTTCCGACGTATCCCCAATTGAGCACGTGTGGGATATGATGGGTAGGAGATTGCTCAATTTGCAACGTCCTCCTCAGACTCTAGAAGCACTTCGAGAGGAGTTGGTGGTTGCCTGGAATGAGATACCACAGGAGGACATTGACCACCTGATCAGAAGCATGCCTAGGCGCGTTGGAGAATGCGTAGCACATCAGGGTGCATCCACACATTATTAAAGGTCAAAGGGCTTTAAAGCAGTGCAATCATTTTGAAATTTTTATCACTTACTTATTATGCTTCATTAAGTACTTATACAAAATTTTATTAAAATAAAACCATTTAAACTGGGTGTTCGGATTTATATGCCACTTAGTATAAATAATGCTTAACATCGCAGAGTAATTGTTACACGCCTTTAGAACATACATTTAGTTATTTTTCGTATTTGTAAAGTCAATTACAATCACTTACCTCTACCAATTTTTTTACAAAAGTCGGTGGCGAATTATATAATATGGTAGAACTTACCTGCCGCCCTCCCCGATTTAGCATATATGTATATATGTATAGTACATATTTTATATTATATTTATAATATTTTTCTAAATGATAAGAGTTAATGTACGGCGAAATCTATGGTGTGTGAAATATGTCTAAAAGGTGCATATAATTACCAAGGTTGGGAGCGTATAAATATAATAACATAAAAAACTGAGATAAACCCTCAAAAATGATCAGAATCCTCTAAAAGTCAAAAAAACTAAATTTGAGCGATTTTTATTCCCCGTTTTTGGCCTTCTCTCTCTGTCGCCACTGGACCAATTTTCAATGTGTGAAAATTTCATCAAAATCCGCCAGAAGGCGTGGGAAGTAAAAGTAAAAACCGTAGAAAATCTGATACCAAAGCAGGTGTTTTGCCAAGACTCATTTTATAGTATCCTATGCTGTTTGTGTTATACTTTTAGCCTATCAAACTCTCTAAAATATTTTTTGATTCTAGTGTTACCAAAAGTCAGCAATCAAAACGAAAAAAATTCTCGAGTAAAGCTGTAATCAAATTTAAATGTAAATGTAGCGTACTTACCTAATGTGTCAACATGCGTTAGGGAATATTCAGTGACACATGAAGGTCTTTTGAGAATAACATAATCTGGATGTTAGAACCTCCAATGTTCCTATAATAAAATCAACAATATTTTTGAGACTGTGCCAACACAATGTGTTACCATCGGAAATATACATCTCGCAAACTGCTACTCACTGCGAAGCTAGTTGATGGGGTCCAAAGGATAAACAGTCGCACACATTTTTTGGTTAAGCTAGCAATATGTTAGTGCAACACTTTTGATAGGAGATAGATATAAGATACATTTATTACTTCACAGAGCTGAAAAGCTCCACACAAATATTACCTACAAAGCATCTGGGAAGCGAGTTATCTACCACTGGAATCTACTTTTCTAAAACGTTATGATTTGTCACCATCTGTCTTCATTCTTGGAGGAATGAGAGCTCTGTTACCAGAGCTTCCAAACCCAGAATAAGACTGTAACTTCTTTCTCGTAATCAGAATAATCAACAACAAATAAGCTCAAATTAAATAAATAGTTGACAAATGAACAATTTTTAGTACTACTGCTACTACGACAACTACTGCTACTTTTACTACACTGTATTCAAATTTCATTTACCAGCGGGTCATAAATGCCTGAGCAGGCAGCAACAAGTTAATAGAAGCATCAATATAGTGCTTGTTTATTCTGACGCGGGGTAGATGAGATTTGACAAAAGGATAGATCAAAAATATGAAGCTAAGGTATTTGTTTAATTTATGCCATCCAGTAACTCTATTCTGATCTCTTTTTAAGAAGGTAGACTATTCCAAAGAAATGAGTTGGCTCATTAGGATGAAACGGAAATTTTAGAAACAGAAGTAGTTAAATACTTTTGAAGGATATACAGTATTAAAGCTTGTCTTTGTGGCTACTTGATTATACAAATACCAACAGCAAGTATTATTTTATCTTTGCCATATGTAACTACATCTGTGTATTTTAATTTAAGCAGATAAAGAATTCAGAAGCAACATACCTTTTTAAAAGGAAACCCAAAGCTGTGGAACATTGCTATTTACATAGGACTATGCAAAACAGTGATTTACTTAAATGCCCAAATTTTATCACATTTGAATGCGGTTCCTATATCTTATAGAGGAATAGAAAACAAAATGGTTAGCACAATATTTCTACTGTTTCAGGCTCACAGTCAAAACATATATACAAGTATACCTTGAAAACATTTAAAACAAAACATAATATCTCTAAATAGATAACTACAGTCACATTATATACATAATGCTGCTGTAACAGTGAAAAGTTCATCATGAAAAATACTATACAGAGTTATTGCAATCTAAAAACAGGCACCGAATTTTCTAAATATATAATTCTTCCACATTTAAAATTCATTGAAGGTAGTATGTGGATCCTGGAGTTATTTTCTTTAGTTAAATGATACAAATATATATATACAAACCTTATTAAAATGAATATGAAGTAAGATAAATATACTAAGTGACATAAAATGCAACACCAAGTATTATTTATTGAATTTTGATAAAAACTTGTAAACATATTTGCTATCATGGAAGTATATACTGATAAAATGTGAAAGGCATTCTGTGCCATACTTTTTTTTGTAACATTCTGCAAAGTACCTTCTGTACTTTAACTAGTATTTCATAGTATTTGAAGAAAAAAGATACTAAAATTTTAATTAGGCTTTCTAATGACTGATAATGTTAGCTATTTGAACATTAAAAAAGGATAATAGAAATGTCTACATACCCGCTGTGTCAATAGCTAGATCATACAAAGGTGTTTTGTATTTTTGAGCACCAGACAAGGCACAACCAGAGAGACGTACATGGTGAGAGGGTCCCAAAATAAATATACGTTTTACTACAACAGGGCTAATCTGTCTATAAGCATGACCCCCACAAGGTCCACAGTATTGATACCCAGCATGCCTAAATCAAGTGAAGAAAGCAAATTTTATTAATCAAAATCTGTGAACTAAGAAACGTGTCATGGAAATATATAGAGGTCATATAAAAATGTCCATTACTTCATGGTTGACTGACAATAGTGCTGTTTTATGGTGAAATATTTTCATAGTAGGCCTAATTTGTATATGATCAAATATGGTGGTTTTATTCATACAGCGACTTTCTGAAAACCGCATACAAATGTATGCCCTAATGTCTTGAATTTTGAGATACAGGGTAGTAAAGTGTTCAAAGAACTATCTTAGATATTTTAATGAGATGTTGAACATAGATGTCAACAAAATACATTCATATAAAATCAAAATAAACTCAAGAATTGCCACTTTGATGTTTTGTTATTATTGAAACAGAGGTCATACTAGGATGCCACTATGAAACATTATGAAATATTTTAATAGTAGGTATAGGTCTAGTTTTTAGACAATCTATAAATCTGCCTAAAAGGTTAAATATATGTATATTAAGGAGATTTTTATTTATTTAAATATGGGATGATCACATTATCTGTGATGTGGGAGCTTATAATAATTCCCTAAAGATAATCTAACAATACATTTTAGACTCAAAAAAAATCAATTAATTGCTGACAAAAAAATATCACAACCAACAGACTTTATTCGAACAAATAATATAAAATGAGTCAGTATGCATATGCAATGACCAGATAGTCCATAGACACTTCATCATAAAAAAATGCAATACAATATCAAAAGGGGCTAAAAGCAGTTGAAATTCAATAAAAACGCCAGGTTTTAAGGTTTTACCTAGATATTTCTGTTACTATTTTTTGATATCAGTCTGTTGCAGATGTGAGTAAAGATGAATTTGATCTAAATGTAATAAAATGTCCTAAATCGAAATTCTCAATATTCATTGACGTGTTGAAATTTCGAATTTGACAGCGAGCTCTTGGGCTATGAATAAACAAAGTATATGACCTCTTTTAATGTTTTTAATAAAGATTACCCGTACTTACGGAGCAATAATAGCCCTGGCAGGACCATGAGTTAAGTCGGCTTGATTTAGCCAGTTATCCAGTTGTCTCGACAAATCAGAGCCTTAAATATAATTAAATTAAATATAGTTATTATTGACAAAAAATAGCATTTAAACTGAACAGCTGATGGAAGCTGTTATTGTTAATTGGGTTACCTGAGTCACTGTACCAACTTCCTGCATGTTTTGCTCTCCTTACAGGCATTTTTCAGTCTTGAGAAATGTAAAAGCACTTAGAAATGTGGACCAAACTAAAATAAATACAAAAATATTACAAAAACTTCTCACAAAAACTATTCAGTTGAATGACAAATCGAACACAAGAGAAAATTGACAGTTCCTTGTTTTTAGAAACTTAAGACAGGTGACAGATTTGTGAGGTCACAGAACAAATTATGTTAACAGATGGTCGCCTAGGAACATAGGCGTGGCTAACGGCTCTCCTATTAGTGACATGTGAAGCTTCCATAGATGAAAAGATATATTTGTATTACCAGTGAATGCAAACTGTTCATTAGCAGCAACACGTCTCATGTCACATTTTTACGTAAAAAGCTTGTGCATTGGCTTCTCGTTGTCAATTTCTTGCAATCTTCTACAATTAAACTTCTCTCTCACAGATGGCGCCTCAATAACCAACTAGTAGTAGTAGTACTTTATCCTATAAAACTCAAATTTTATATATCTCCACTGGTATTCCTCATCATTTTATTCAAAACTTCTTTTTTTTTTAAAGATTCTATCAAAATAGCAGAGGTAGCAAAATCGTCCGATAAGCTGGCAACGCCGCAATCCAGGTGGCAAGAATGACAAGGTTATCTGTCAAGGCGAATGTCTATCCCGGGGTACCGACGGAGTCATTTAGTACTTCAATGCGGCAATTTTCATTTGCATTTTTTTAAATGTGTAACGATTTCAGCAAGAATTTCGCTACGGATAGTCTTCTAGACTCTAGTTGAATACATTTCAAATTTCAACAGTTGTCTTGCGTGGCCATGTTATCTTTACTCGGACCCTTTTATGTTATCTAGAATAATTACGTTTTAGATATATCCACACTAGTAGGGTTTTTTGTTCTTTTTATTTTTGTAGTCGTTGACGTTTTTGCGCTAGCGACCTCTGCCTCTGCCCTGTGCCTGTGTTCATGACATTCATGGATGTTCTGTGTTCGCCATTTTAGGTATTTGGACTGAATAATTGTATTTTTTCTCATTTTAAAGAAGAATACTGGAAATTTGAAAGATATAGCTTGTGAAACATGTAATTTTCTGTAACAGCATGCTGAACTGGTATGTAAACAAGTCCTTGTTTATTATTTACCTGTAAAGGCAGTACTTCAAATTTGAATTCATTTTTGTTTATTTTCTCCAACGTATTCTTAGCAATGCGAATGGATATTACTCTATTTTTATTTGGCATTTTATAGAAAGCCGTAGAAAAGTGATACCTATTCTAATTAATCTATTCAGATTTAGCAGACTCGTATTAATTTAACGCCTACTTAAAAAACACCTACTTTATGTGTGGGATTTTTACTTATGGTCAAATGTGATTAGCAGCTCTAAATAATATGATTTTGCAGTTCACCTATTAAAAGAAAACGGCGAACCGTTTCTAACATGATGGAGGCCTTTGAAAATGTTCTACTCAATGCATCAGAATTTATCAAAGGTAAACAAATTCACTTATGTCATAGGTACAATATATACACACACGTTTACTGCATATCATTTATGGATAATGACGCATCAGACACAGGCTCATATCAGTGGAACTACCTGTATTTCAGATGCCATTGTAAAATGTCATGTAAATGGTAACTGAAAAATACTTTTTTCTTCATAAGGGACTTTACACAGGGTGATTGAGAAGACAATTTCAACGCTTCTATAGTGGAAATTTCATCCAAAAATAACAAAAAAAGTTCCTATAAGCATATGTTTTAAAATATCCCATTGCCACGAAAGTTTGTACATTATTGATAAAACTGAATAAGGATAACAAAGATGCAATAGACGTTGCATAGAGGACAGTGGTATAGAAAATGTTTCCAAGTTCAATATGTTTGGATCAGATGGTGTTCATTACGGTAGATGTCCTAGTGGGCAAAGATTGAACCCCAAGTACACTTTGCCCACTGTCACACCCACATGGAGGTGGGTCTGTTATGGTTTGGGGGTGCTTTTCAGGGTTTGGGATGGGACCTTTACATAGAATTGATGGCATTATGGATAAGTTTGTATACACAGAATTACTAAAGCATGTCATGTTACCCTATATGGAAGGCAATATGCCCTTAAGATCAATCTTCCAGCAAGATAATGACCTGACGCACACTTCATATCTCACAAAGAAATTCTTTCTGGATGAAAAAATACCAGTTCTCAAATGGCCTTCATAGTCTCCCAATATAAATCCCATTGAAAATCTAAGATAAAAATTATTCAAACCTGAATGAACTTTTTGCCGCTTTAGAGCAAAAGTGGAGACAGATTGATGAATCTTATATCAAGAAACTTCTACAATCTATGCAGAGACGATGCCAGGCGGTGATTGATGATAATGGTTATGCTACAAAATATTAACACAAACGTGGTTGGTTTTCTATAATTCAATGAAGTTTGCTGCTTTTTTCTATAAATGTTTTGCTTTGACTATATATTTTTGTCCTTCATAGTTCCATTTTTTTCAATGAATTTTTTATTGAATTGGAGTCTAATGAATTTATTTATGCTATAACGAATTATGTATACAGGTTGGTGTATTGATAAAACAAGTTAAAAAAGCAATACAGCACAATATTAATTTGTCTATATACTTTTGTCTATTACAGTATATGTCATATAACATCCAAAAAAAAAATATCTAACTTCCTAAAATATTATTAATATGGCTTCAAAATAGGTGGATCCATTTTATTTTTTTTCTCTCTAGATTTGTTACCAGAAAACCTGTTGTGATTTATTTAATTATTAATTTGTATTTATGTCATCCATTTTTTTAAGTGCTACATTTATGATCACCTATTTTTTGTTCCATAATGATATTTGAACCCATTTATACATGCTCTATGTATTAATTCTTATTTATATTCTTTCTTTTTTGCAGGCCGTTTATTTTTTGTATCTCTGAATACACCTGTTGAGCCAAAATCAACAGCATCAGTCCACTATTTTTCAATTGACTATGAGTTGAACTATGATGGATTTTACCTTGATTTTGGACCGCTGAATTTAGCCATGCTGTACCACTATTGTGTGAAGTTGAGAAGAAAATTGAGTAATCCTGCGTTCCACAACAAGAAAATTGTGCATTACACGTGCATTGATGTTGAAAAAAGGGTTAATGCAGCTTTCCTTATCGGTTCATATGCAGTAAGTCAAACTGCAACAATTTTTAAATGTATAATAATTTTATGTGAGTGAATATATGGTATTCAGGTTTTCAGTGTCAACTAAGAAAAATAGCTCATTTTGTTTTTATATACTTTCATAGGCCAGGGAGGTGGCATTTAAACTACAAAAAATGGTACTTTAAAAGTGATAAAACATCATTAGCTAAGTAAATTCAATAGTTCTTTTTTAAAAATGACAAATCTTCAGTTCCATCGTTCTTGAAATGAGAGAATCATAGATTGAGAGCTCACAAACTCTTTGTGTTTCTAAGCTAGACATTTTTTTGATAGTGGGTAACAGTCATTGCTTTCATTGTTTATAATATTTTTATTGTAAAGAAAGGACAAAAAGTAATAAGTAGAAAAAACAATTGACATGAAAACTGTAAGAGAAGTGACAGCAGGGTAATGACAAAAACATACATGAACTCCAACAAGATCTAAGATACATTACTTAAGGTAATTTTGTATTCAAGAATCGTTGTTGCTTATATAATTGCTGTAATACAACATTAAAAATCACAAAGATATACTTAACAGAGTAAATACAATACCATACATTCAAGGGGGATTCAGGATTTCGTCTAGGGGCGGGGGGGGTGCGCAAACGATATTTGTGATTGTGTTCTATCAAAAATCGCAATGCTCAGTTCCTATAGCTATAACTTATAGTTAGTATGCCTCTGTTACAAAGCAAGTGTCAGACGACTAGGGGGAGGGCACCCCCCCCTCTAAATCCGCCACTGCATACATTCACCCATATAAAGTCTAACATGCAATTATTCTTCACTATAATCAAACTACCTTTCATATGTATACTTATTTTTAGATAATATATTTGAATTTTGAACCAGAACAGGCCTATGAAGTCCTGAATCATGATTCCACAAAAGATTACCTAAAATTCAGAGATGCCTCTATTGGGGAACCATACACTCTGAGCATTTTGGACTGCTTGAAAGCTATCAAAAAGGCCTTCCACTTTGGCTTCTTCAATTTTGACAACTTTGATTTCATGGAGTATGAACATTATGAACGTGTTGAAAATGGAGACTTTAACTGGATTTTGCCAGACAAGTTTATTGCCTTTTGTGGACCACACGATGATAGTTCATTGGATAGAGGTACTATTATATTCTTGGTATTTCACGTAACATATGGTAGTCAGCCTTGGCCTTGATTCTAAAGGTGAAACACAATTTTTTGATTCCTAGGATCAGTTATCTCAACAACTATTTATCCTAATTGTCTAAACCAAAATTTTATCTATGATAGGGTAGTAATTTGAAAGCAATTAACTGGTAAGGTCAGGGATGCCCCACATCAAAGCTGATTTGAAGATAATGACTTGCCCTACCTGGATTAGGTACCTATCAGGTTTATGACAGTGGCTTATGAAAACTTGTAACAATTAGTTTTAAATCACTTCTCAGTAAAATTGTTTACTCTGAATAAAGCATGTGACAAAAAATCGTTTTTTGAAGGTACTCATTCTCCAGAAACATATTTTGCATACTTCCGAAGACACAAAGTCACTACAGTTGTGAGGTTAAATAAGAAAGCATATGATGCAAATAAATTTATTCAAGCTGGGTTTGATCACAAAGATTTGTATTTTGTTGATGGCGGAACCCCTAATGATAGGATATTGCATCATTTTATCAGTATTTGTGAGAATGCCAAGGGTGCAATTGCTGTACATTGTAAAGGTAAGCAGTATGTTTATAAGGAATCATCTAAACATCTTCACTTCTTCACTGTTATCGTTTGCGATCGATTACCGGTTCGATAAGAGTGATGAAAGGACGACGCGCTGTTGTCATGTGAGTTATAAATATTTAATTTTGGCTTAACTGAGAAAAACTTAATGCCATTTATGTGACAGTAATTTTGTACTCATTATGATTCATAGCAATTTTGTGACAGTGCTTCAGAATAGTGTATGGACATGTAGAAATACTTGTACATGGAACATGTAGATAAACTCTGTATTTCCAAGTTGTACACTTAAAAATATTTTAGTGTCCGTATGGCATTCTGGTGTATTCAAATATAATCTTGTTTTTAGCTGGGCTTGGTAGGACTGGTTCGTTGATAGCCTGTTATATAATGAAACATTATAAATTTACTGCAGAAGAAGCTATTGCTTGGATCAGGATATGCAGGCCCGGCTCTATAATCGGTCACCAGCAGAATTGGCTGCAAGTGTAAGTTTTAATTAGAGATCTGTAAATTGAGCAAAGTAGAGGGGACATAGTCAACCTGCTTGATGCCATTTTTTGTTTCAGTAAGCAAAAGCAGATGTGGGAGGCAGGTGAAGTATATAGGAAGAAGCATGGCATAACTAGTCTTCCAAAGCATACCAAAGGTATTTATGCCCTATCGGACTTGAGCAAAAAGAAAAATAACGACAATGTCACAGGCATTGTTAGGAAGGTTGATTGTATGGGAATCAAAGATGCTAAAGAAAAAGAAGGCGAAGAAAACAAGTTAACGCAGGGAGATCTGTTGAACGAAATTAAAGCACAACGAGCCAGGGCAAAACCACTTGCGACCACCCAGTAAGTATAAATGAGGCTAGGTATATTATTAGGGCAAAGAAACTCCATTTGAGAAATTTGAAGGAAAATTTTTATTTTTCAAATTATGAAAGAAACGGGAAGTCTCTTATTCTAAGTAAAAAATGACAAGCCAGAAGTTCCATATTTGGACCTAGTCACCACAGTTAATGTAATATTTTTATAATGGTCATGTTGTGGCTGGAGGGGAAATACTCCTGGAACTTTGTTGATGTAGGATGTATTGGGGTGGTTCAGCAATCAAAAAGCCTGGTCAGAAATCCAAAAAAGTAATGTGATATGGTATTGTATTACTTGCCAATCGACATATGACATTTCAGTAGCAGACAAAAGTTTGGAAACATTCTTAGTAATTTATAAAAAGTACGCTAATTTTTTATTCTTTATTATTAAGGATTATTTTTTTTCTCATATAGTTTACTTACAGTCTTGAGGATACAAATGACAATTTGTGATTGTTGTGGTACTACAGACTAGCATTAAAATTATGACCAAAAATGAGATGACAAAAGTATGGAAACACATTCTTTTATTACAAAATTAAATCCAATAACTCTACAAAAGATTTAAAAAATACTGCTTATCTAATATTTGGTAACATTCAACACTGCTTGACATCTGCTGCTCATAAATTTTTTACAGACGTCTGTTGGGATATTTTACCAAATGTTTTTTACATAATCAAATGAATCGTTCCTATTTTTAAAATTTTTTCTTGTCAGTTGTCCTTTAACATGTACCTAGAGATGTTCTATAGGGTTCAGGTCCGGGGATTACGAAGGCCATGTAAAAACATGAACTTTTTTTAGTCTTAACTAGCTCTTTACGAATTTCGAGGTATGCTTGGAGTCATTATCTTGCTGGAATGTCCATCGTAAAGGCATTTCTTCTTCAGCAAAAGGGAGCATGTGTTCACTAAGAATGTCTGTGAAGTTTTTGATCCATTTTCCCAATAATTTTAACAATTGGACCCGTTCCAGAACTAGAAAAACAGCCTCAAACCATGATGTTGCCTCCATCGTGCTTAACTGTCACTTTTTGTCGATTTTTTTTCGTATTGAACGTCTCACATATGCCGTACCGTCAGATCCAAACAAGTTAAATATGCTTTCATCGATCCATAAAACCGTATTCGACTGTTGTTCTGTCCAAGTTAGATGACTTTTAGGAAGTTCAAGCCCAGCAATAAGATTTTTTTTAAAATGAGAGGCGTTTGTACTGGACGCATACCAAAAAAACACAAAATCCACTATCCTGACAGAAAGATTCTCGGCACCCTCTTCTACGATACTTTCGAAATTCTGTGTGGCTGCCATTCCAAAACATATTCGGCTTTTTCGCACCTGGACCGCGTTGCTGTTGGTACGTATTCTTAATATTTACTAATAATTTTCGAAATCGTTGAGAAATATCAACATTTCTGACACCACTTCTAAATAATTCAACTACTTTGTTTCTTGAATCTTCTGGAAATTCTTTTACTTTTGCCATTCTCACTGATGTTAATGTTATAACTACGGCAAAACTGATATGTTTCCATACTTTTGTCGTTACAAAGACTGTGTATTTAAAAAAACGCGTGTTTTTATTTTCAGAGAATTTGAATATTATTGAAAAGATTATTTATTATTTTTAATTTACGTCATGTTTTCCCTTGTTGCAGACAAGACAGGTTGAGGCGGGTACACATTGGTAACAATTCTGTTACACAGACAGTGTTGAGAGGCGGAAAAATAATTTGCAGTTCCCCACAAAAAACCGGGTCAAGTACTAACCGTGTTGTCACCAAAAGGTTTGTCTGAGTACAGTTCAGTATTTCGAGCATGGCTTTTCCCTTTTTTTTTTGTTGTTGTAAGGTTCTCTTATTATTTTGCATGCTGAACTTTTTAGCCTTTGCATTATTCAAGGTGACAGTATTTTTAAATTTAGAAATATATATTTTTTTTTGTATATCTGATACTTTATTTGGTTGTTATCTGCTTTGTTATACAGGGTCTCCCAAAAAGGCAAGTGGATTTTTTGAAAATCGCTATAAACAAAAACAAAAAACACTGGGCGAAAATAAATAATAGAAGGATGGGGGTCGATGAGGGAGTTTCTCCTTTCTGAGAATAACTCACACTTTAAATTTGTCGCATTTTTATTTCCAAATCCAAAAAAACATTCCTGGACAGTTATCCAGTAGAAAAAAAAACGTTAAATAAGGGACTAAAAATTTTAATCAATCGACTTATTAATATAGATTAAAAAAATGTTAACATTGCTTATTAGATATTTTATACCAAATCCGAAAATGTAAAGGAAAGCTATTGGATTAGGAGATTTTCAAAGACACTTTTTTTGGACGACCTGTAGGAGGATTGAAAGGGTATATGTATTTTTGTATATGTATTTATTGTGAATGCCAAAGCTATGTTATACGTACTACATGTACTATGAGGGTTATTTTACCGTTTTTTTTTTAAGCAAATAAGAATTTTTACACAATCATAATTGTTAAACTCGTGCATAGCATTGACGTATTTTTATAATAACATATAACGTAATTTTCTGGCTGACAGTAGTTGTAAGCACAAAACTGTACCATATGTCAAGTAGTTATTGAGGGTATCTGCACAATTGTTGTAGTAAATCGGAATGCTGGTAATCTCAATGTAACATCCGAAACTTATCATGCGGTTGTCGCCCTGACCAATCTACATGTTATGCTGGTCGCTGAATAGAACCGCAAACTTTGAAGCAACGTCTTACTAACGTTTGGTTCACGTGGTTTACGTCCATTTGGCGAAAACACAAACAAACCACTTGGAAGACATCAATAAAATACAGGGTGCTACTTGATGATAGGCCATAATTATTTATTCATTTATTTACGGTTTCCCATTGAATATACAATACAAAACATGTGACAAACTACAATAACTGTACACAAGACGACATCAAGCCGAAACCGTGAGATAGGCAAAGTCATAAGTAAAATATTTAAAAATCTTGAATATGTATTTAAAAAAAATATAAATTTCACACCGTACGGCAGTCTGTTAACTCCTGTTGATACAAATATTAACTTTTTTTGGATTTAATTTTTACAGTGTAATGATATATAGTGCACCTTTAAACTGGTGGGTAGATTTTTTTAAACTTTGACACCCTGTATCTTGTATATGATGCTTTAGGACACATGTTTATATGAGCCTTCCTACTCGAATTTAGTTCAAGGCCGTTGTAATTATAGCCTATCACTAAGTAACACCCTGTATATTGTCATTCACATGATTCATCTGTGGTTTCATTTGTCGACCGTCAAAACATTAAAATTGAACAGCGAGATAACAGCAGGGTACGTTTCACATTATTGGCGATAGGCAAATACTTAATTTTACGTGCGTGTATTATGGAATAAAAGTCAAATTTTCTGGATTACAACCCATCAAAAATAACAGGCGCTGTGACATATAAAATGCAACACCCAGAATTATTTATTGAATTTTGATAAAAACTTGTAAATATACAGGGTGAAGTTTTAGGAAAAAAACCAACTAAATGATTACAAAAATTGTTGAAAATGGCCCCCTTCACTTAGGTTCCGCCCTCCTTCTCGTGGAATTACGCACTCGTTGAAATATCCGTGGAGTGTTTTTTATTCTATCACAAGCTGCGACTATTCTTTCTCTTAATTTATCTATAGTGTTAATGGGACTGGTGTACACTAGTGTCTTACGATAGCCCCACAAAAAGAAATCTAAACTGTTGAGGTCTGGGGACCTTGGTGGCCATTCTTGGGGCCCACCGCGGCCAATCCAACGACCGAAAATTGGTGTTGGAAATGGGCTTCGGTTAAGGCATAGGGATTTTCTTCTGCCAACAAATGATTATTGTGGAAATTCTGAATGTAAATCTGCTTCAGCGGCCTGCTCGACCTCCAGACCTTTCCCCCATCCAATATGTATGGGACAGCACTCCTAGTCGGTGTTGCATTCTCTATGTCAATTGACGTTACCTGTGGAGCTGAAAATACAGAATTCAAAATAACTTTCTGTCCGCCATTTTTTATTTGAGCAGCGCCATCTGTAGGACATGCCTCTCGCCAATATATCAGCGTTTTGATAGTATGTAGTTAGTTAGGTTGAAGGCATGGTATAGTGGCAGCTCAGCTTAAAACTGAAAACCGTCTTGTACGCCACTGGTGCTTTTGTTGACAGAATCGAAACAAAAGAGCCGCAACTCGTAAAGCGAATAAGCGCGAGAAAGCTAGCGACTCCTATATCAGCGACAGTCGGCGAGAAAATCGGAGAGAAACGGCTGGTTAAGAAAACAATGCTGACACATCTGAATAAAAACGACTGCGTCTTCAAAAACGGCATCGCCACGCCTTCGGAAAACGCCCCCTCGCCGGCGGATAGCAAGCAGCTAAAGAGGGGTAAGAGGACGCTGGCCGTGGAGAAAGACAAGGCAAGTCCCAGATCTGTTAAGGTACTTCGGCGGTCGCATATGATCCCGCTTAATTTAGTGATTGAGAAAGACGAAGGTAAACTGCGTTTACCTTCCGTCAAAGTCAACAAGACCATTTAATCGATGTATATAGTTGTTTAAATATGTGCATAGAGGTGTATATTTATAAAGTTTATTTTTAGACTGTTAAGGAAAGAAGATTTTATATAATCAGAATTTAAATAACTTTGATCTCCTTCAGGATCATACGGCACGTGATCTCAGCATGTGGGTTTGCTAGAATTTTTTTGATTAAGGCACACATTTATAGTCTAGAGTCTAGAGGAACTTTATTGGATGAAAACAGGATGACAACAACGCTAGTTACATTTCATATTCAGCTTATAAGAAGTAAAATATAGCAAAATGCAAAGTCAGGAATGTTCTCACAAAGATAACACCTAACGCTGTAACTAGAAACCGGATGGACGGCGCTAATCACAAGGGCATCGGGACGGTGTTAGCCGTACCGTTGAAATGGTAATCATCAGGATTCCATAACTTACACGGTGTCCCATTTTAATCTCCCCGCCTAAATACTTCGAAAACTGCGCATTCTAGAAAGAAAGTTTCAAACGAAATATGTAGGGTTTCGAGGGGTCAAAAACCAACTAAGATCACTTGTTTAACTGCCAATAAAAATTTTCAAATAATCAGTTTTGAATTTGGCATCCTTAAAAATAACATTTTTTGACAGATGTGATCACATGTTTTCGAAGTTTCCAAAAGCTTTTCTCGTTTGTTTCATTTTCTAACTTTCTAGAAACGTTCAATTATTTTTTTCAATACCAGCATTTGAGTATAAGACACTTTTAAACAGGTTGCATTTCTATTTACATTTTTGTGTAACTTGGACTAAAAAAAACTAAGTTCACTTGTTTAACTGTCAATAAAAATTTTCAAATAATCATTTTTGAAGATGTGATCACATCTTTTCGAAATTTCCAAAAGTTTTTCTCGTTATTTACATCCTGTTTCATGTTCCAACTTTCTAGAAACTTTCAGTTATTTTTCTCAATACCAGCATTTGAGTATAAGACACTTTTAAACAGGTTGCATTTTTATTTACATTTTTGTCTAACATGGACTAAAAAAACAACTAAGATCACTTGTTTAACTGCCAATAAAAATTTTCAAACAATCAGTTTTGCATTTGGCATCCTTAAAAATAACATTTTTTGACAGGTGTGATCACATGTTTTCGAAGTTTCCAAAAGCTTTTCTCGTTTGTTTCATTTTCTAACTTTCTAGAAACGTTCAATTATTTTTTTCAATACCAGCATTTGAGTATAAGACACTTTTAAACAGGTTGCATTTCTATTTACATTTTTGTGTAACTTGGACTAAAAAAAAACTAAGTTCACTTGATTAACTGTCAATAAAAATTTTCAAATAATCATTTTTGAAGATGTGATCACATCTTTTCGAAGTTTCCAAAAGTTTTTCTCGTTATTTACATCCTTTAATCGGTCCCTTTCATTTTCTGACTTTCTAGAAACGTTCAGTTATTTTTCTCAATACCAGCATTTGAGTATAAGACACTTTTAAACAGGTTGCATTTTTATTTACATTTTTTGTCTAACATGGACTAAAAAAACAACTAAGTTCGCTTGTTTAACTGTCAATAAAAATTTTCAAATAATCATTTTTGAAGATGTGATCACATCTTTTCGAAGTTTCCAAAAGTTTTTCTCGTTATTTACATCCTTTAATCGGTCTGTTTCATGTTCCGACTTTTTAGAAACGTTCAATTATTTTTCTCAATACCAGCATTTGAGTATAAGACACTTAAAGAGGTTGCATTTCTATTTACATTTTTATCTAACATGGACTAAGAAAAAACAACTAAGTTCACTTGTTTTACTATCAATAAAAATTTTCAAATAATAATTTTTAAAGGGCTATTCAGGGGCAGAGAAGGTTGGAAATAACCTTTTTTCACAGATGTTTGATATTTGATGACAATGTGAGTGATTGATATATTGTTTCCTGGATTTCCATTGTCTATTAAGTTTTTTGATTATCTACGTTTCGGTTGATAAGATATTCAATCGTCATCAGGTGAACTTCTTTCTTGACTATTTATGCCTTCACAACGGCATAAATAGTTAAGGGGAGCATGTTCACCAGTTCATCTGATGACAATTGGAGATCACTTCAATCGTAACGTCGTGAATCAAAAAACGACTATGAAAGTCCGAGAAACAACATCTCAGTTTTTAACGTTTTTTATGCATTGAGAGTATGCTGTCTCAAACTTCAAAATTGCTTAACACCAAAAAGTCAACTTTGGGAGAAAGTTATCAAGTATCTTTTTTGTTTATAGTCATCCGAAAAACCTTTGCCTGGTGATATTATTTGTAATCCGTTTAAAAGAGTAATTTGAAGAAATTTGTACCGCGTTGTCGTATTTTTGTACAGTTTCTTGTTGTTCCTGCAGATACTTAAGTTTGTACGAGCTGTTTTGGTGTGCGGAATGTTGACGGAATTACATAGAAATGAATTGAAAGATGCTGATATAATCATTTTGCTGTCATATCCGACACGGTCCTGAACGAAGTCAATCAGTTATCATATTTCTGTTAAACTAATAAGTGAAAATGTAACATATATTTTAAACACTGTTTGAAGAATATTATATAATTTTGTTGACCGTACTATAATTAGTTTCTTATAAGTAAGATGGTTCAAATTTTCAAATCCTTCAGAGAGAAACTATTTTTGTTTGATTTATTTTTATTTCACTGCAAATTTGCGCAGGATGGAGGATAAACTATTTGAAGATAATTTATTTCGAGGTTCTGAACCTTCAGATTATTCATAGTTAGGACATAGATATTCAAGTGCCTTTTGCACCCTTTTTTGGAATTATGGACCTAGAGCTTGACATCCATATCGCGTACTTTCTAGAAAGTAATAATCAGTAATACAGATTGACGAGTACAATAGATAACGTCTCTACATTACAATAAATAGCATTTGGTCAATTATAGGTAATTCATTCTTAGACTGCTTACGCAACAAATATATCACTATATGTACCTAGAGTATATATTTATTCTATTTGCATCTGATTTTAAACGTTTTATCCTCAGTCCATGCAACAAGGTATTCCCATTTGGCATATGTAATAGTTTGATCAGAAATGTTCATAAGTAAAATTTTCAGCTTTTATTACATTGTTTGATAATGCAGTAAAATAAACCTAAAACCCTGAATAAAAATTTACTATCTTAACTATCTGAACAGTTTGATGTGCTCAACATATCATTACTAAAAGTATATCCTTAAGTTCAATCGTGTTTCGATTAAAGTCATTTCTTCATTAAAATATGATGCAAATTATCATCCACATGATACTCGTAGCTTAAGACCGTCATTTGATGATTGTTACAACAGGATTGAATTTGAGAAATTATTTTCCTCCCCTTCGAACAACATTTATTAACTTAAGCATTTTTGACTATCCTCAAGACACATTTAATACGTACTGTGTACTCCTGACATTAATACGAATACCTCGAAATAGTGCAGTGGTGGAATTGGAAACTTTTAAAACTGTAATCGATTATGTAACGTTATTGGTGACATAAAGGGTGTCTTAATAAGAGCGCCGGATTTGGTTTTCAAAAACACAATTTCTTTTCGAATTAAGCGATTATTTATATTGCAACTTGAAGAGGAGGAGTTAAACAGGACATCCACCAGAAAACCTCTGGCACAAGGTCAGTTTTTTTTAAATATTCTGGATAATGTTTTCGCACAGCGGTGACTCTATTTCGTCGATAACGCGCCGTATCTCTTTTTTAAGGCGTTGAACTGTTTGAGTTAGCTTGAGTTCTTGCGTCAGTTGAACCTTGTACGCATGCAAGCACAGATCTTGTGTCAAGGTTCGTTGCAGAGTGGGTCTGGTAAGGTTCAATTCTTGGCCACTATGCCGAATGGAAGCGCCCGGATTTTCGGCCACACTTTCCAGGACGGTGACGAACAGCGGGTTTCACATTCAGCAACGTGAATTTTGTCTCAAATTTTGTAATTTGGCGACCGAAAATTGTACGTAATTTGTTTCCGCGTGATTTTCCCCATTTTGGTAATGAGTTTTCACGATAATTAAACGATGCCCGTTTGAATATTGCTTCATGTCGTCTAATCGCGTCATCTGGACATGACGGCTGTCATCAAATAAACACCATAACATTTGTACAGCAAATTCAAATACGGCGCTCTTGTTTATATGGTGTCAAGGCAGAAGTTGCAGAGCTCTGAATGAATAACCTGATGGTGGCCTTGACCGAGACCTTGAAAGGTATCTCCAAGGTCATTCATAAGTTGACTTCATGGCTGGATTGTTCACTCAAATAATTTTATGGGGGTCAGAAACTGTTTGAACCCTCTGTATATATGTCCATACTGATATCTGGATTTTCTAAAATTTTCCATTATTTTGGCCTAACTATCAACTTCAGTTATAGTACTGGATAGCAAAATATTAGCAATAATGTCTTGTGCTAAAATTCAAAATAACTTTATAGTCTTTGGTAGCTTCTAACAGCACAAAATCGTTCCATGGTAACTTGGTTTGACTTCCACGCACAATAAAATGATTTATAACATTTCAGACATAGATTTTATGTGATGATTTTTTAGTTTTGACTAACAGTTTTTTCAAAGTTTCCAATACTTCTACCGTCACTCTCGCCAAATAGAAGCATCTATGTATTTGAATATTAAAAAGTATTCTGGGGATTCTAGGGAAAGCGATGTCACAATCACACACATACGCTAGGCATATTCATTCATAGCCAGATTGAAACCATTCAAAATAGAACCCAACGAAATACGGAGAATGTAGAATAGAATCATAAACAGTCACAAAGCTACGTAGTGTGTGTAAGAATCTGTTCTAAAAATATCAAATCAACCTATTTAAGTATACAGATAAGTACTGGAAAATCTATTATTTTTTTATGCCTAATTGTAGCTATCACTGTAATGTATTCCACCAAAACGTTGTTAATGTAAATAGTCCAGTTATCACAATATTAGTAGATTAACATGTCCTACTAAAAGAAAAATATTTATTTATCATTATTTGTTATCTTGTATGACTATCTATTGTATTCTCATGTTTTGCTGTCATCACTGCAAAAACATTTGCAAATCAAGCTGGTCTTACTAACAGCGAATTTTGCCAATATGGCAGATGTCGCGTTTGAGCTAATTTGTTTTATGTAATTTATATTTATAGTAGTTTTAATGCCACATTCACGCATTGGAGCCAACGTTGGTCAACGCGCATTGGTTTAGCATTCACACATTGCTGTCGGCCTACGCCGGCCCAATGTGTTAAAAAACTACTATACACATACTGTTTCTTTTTATTTTATTTGGCTTTTCCAGGTCCAAGTTTTATACGAGTACGACTTATCTTAATTTTTAATTATATCATAGAGTTTTCCATTAAGGACTTGATAACTTTCTTTTTAAATAAAACACTAACGAAAATTTCATTATTGGATTGTAGCATACTCAAATCACTTATGTATGGAATTCGACATCGATCATTATGTCATATATGTCATTCAGTATTGGCTCTGAGCTCCTCTAACAATGCGGCTTGTTGACATGGACCAATGATTTAATGTAGCCCCACAAAAAAAAGTCTAGAGGTGATAAATCACACGATCTAGGCGGCCATTTCTCGATATAACACGTTCGATTGTTTCACTCGCTGTGTGGCTTGTGGCACCGTCTTGTTAACCACATCGTTAACGTCTAGCACATCTAATTTGTACAAAAAAAATAACGTTTCAACATGTTTCTGTAACGTGGCGGTCACTTTCATCAACGACAGTTCGGTAATTGATTTAAAGGTGCGTTCACAATGAAATTTCAAAGTTTTCAAGTCCCTATTAGAAAAACCACTTTATAGTGACTTATCACATCACATTCAGCAACAGTCTTGTTGACAGATGTTGAGCCAACAAGTAAATTTATTTTGATGCATCTGTAACTATCATTTATCCTATTTTGCTTATAAGAGGCAACCTTGTTTTACAGCTCATAACTATTAACATGAGTTGAAATGGACAGTTATGCTTTCCGCCTCTGTAATCACGACCAACCGCAGACACCGCTGTTTCGTGCTCATTAGCAACTCATCAGTGCGGTATAGGCCTAGCGGTTCTGGAGAAAAGCAGAACAAGTGGATATGTTGTTTTGCAAAACTCAAAATACTGTGCGGAAGTATATGTGGATGAAGATCAGCTTTGCAAACCATTTGAGATCGTCAAATTTTTCGCTTACTTCTGCACAATGTTTTGAGTTTTTCAAAAGGCCATACCTACTTATTTGCTTTCCATTTGTCGTTGACAAGGACTACTATACCTATACCGCCCTGATGAGTGGCTAGTCAGCGAAACTTTCTGGTTGGTCGAGGTTGCAGAGACGGAAAGCAACAATGTTGTGTTTTGTATTATTGGAATTTGCAAGGCATAATTACATAGCTTATCTGTCGCAAATATTGTAGGTCGAAAATCACATATCACTAAAAAAACTTTTTGGAAGTATTATCACAGATATCATATATTATCACTTGTCTATAAATAAAACTGTTGCTGAAGATAGAGCACTGTTAACAAGGCAGGCAATTTGCGATGTGTCAAAGAAGTTTTGAATGTTCAAACAGTATTATATATGTAATTCCTGAAACTTTCACTGTGGTAATCGTCTTCGTAGGACTCCATTGTCTGTCTGAATCAACGCCACATATATGGTTGGATTTCAGTTTATTGTACGACGTTTCACCACCGCTGTGGTCTTTTTCAAGTACATGTCCATGTGGCAATATATTTAGTTTTCTGTCTTCCAGCTGACATTAGGTTTCTTTTTTATTTTATTAAATTCATTATATCATTTTGTTTAATGAACCACACACGTCACCCTTGTCCATCGTTCCGAAAACGCCAAAAGTCCCAGAACCGGAAAACACATGATCCGTCAGTAGTTTGGATAATATAGATTAGATTTTTTCTTCAAGGTTAATTAAGCAAGTTGGGCCACAGTCCACAAAAAAACTATTTTATATACGCTGATTTCTATACCTCTTTATCCTATTTGTGCAATATTAAGACTTCCTCCCGTTTAACCCCATGCCCTTTTTCCCATGCATGCTCGTTTAGAGCTGATTTTGACATTTCTTCCCTTGATATGTGGCTTTGATTTGGCAAGACAATAGAGTCCTATCGAAATTATGTTTAAATTATTTTTTCTCAGCAAGCTATGCTCTTTGGATTTTTCCAAGTTGATGTGCTAAAGACATTCTAAGGTTGATTGGTTGTGTTCGAAGATAAAGTCATAGTACTTACGAAGCAAAGATCTCATAAAAAAAATACTATTAGGCTCAGTGACCGCGGTGATAATAAATTTGCTCGAATTTAAATGCTGAATGATCACTTTGTTATATCGGTATCTGACACGTATGATGATATTTTTAAGTGTATTTAATTTCCAAAGTGTAAAGTACAAAATTTTGTTTAGCATATTAGACTCCGACATTATTTAGGGACTTGTATGGATTTTTCCAAGCATATACAGGGTGTTTCTTAATAAGTAGAACATTTGACATTGAACATTGCATCTAGTTCATTAATAAAGTAATCCTATCTTACCATAGTGTTATTTGAACAATATTTATGGTTTGTCCCGATTCAGTGGCGTTAGAAATTTACTACATCCAGTATCTCGAGAAGAAAAACTTTCGGAGCTATACTTGTTTCTTTTATGTGCTTAAAAACACATAAGAAATGTTGTGAAAAATTAAGAAACGACCTCTACTACTATTGAACGTATGCTTTGAGAAACAAACTGCTTATGCTTGATGCCTTACGACTGTGCTCTACGTGACTTTTAACTTTTATCAATATTCAATTCCAAGAGATCTTTCATATTTTGATATATTTTTATTCAAACTCTTTACTGCATGTTGAAAACATTTTTTAATAGATAGTCTCATATAAGAATGTTAGTGTTTTTCCCAACATTGAAAAAATTTTACATGGTGGGAAAGAACATATATGTATATCTGTTAGCTAGATTTGAAGATATATACGAGCACTCGCATAAAATTGCGGTTAATTTGTGATCAAACTGCTTTTTAATGGATAGATTTTAATTTTGCGTTATGTACACACAATCACATTTTAACTGGATCACGTTTAACTGTCCAATAGATCGATTTATTTGTTCTAGTATGTGATGCCATTTTGTTGAATAAGTTATTTTAATAAACATTTAATAAATGTTTTTATATTCAATCTTGTGGTTTCATTGAGCTTCCTTACATTTTTGCAATAACAAATCACCCATCTGTAAGAAGAAAATAGGTAGGGCGAGATGCTGCCGTTGTGATTTTCATGCGTTTCCCACACCTACGACTACGATTTTGTCATGTACGAGGTCCCTAAAAAATATTTTTTTTGGTGGCGGCTACTCTCCAATAGATGGCGCTGCATATCGGTAGCTAGCACAAGGTCCACCATTTTGAATGACTACCTTGGGCTGGTGAAATCCGTTCAGTAATCCCCAATGCAAGCAAGGAGGAGGACGCTTTGTTTTTCAACAAAGCTAAATCTAATACGTAATATTAGAATATAATAAACTAATTCAATCAAAAAATGGGGGGATTTTAACCCCCCTCACGGAAATTTAAGATCCTTGATCATTGAAGATTCGTTGCCATAAACCCGTCCCGAACCCCGACCAACCGCCCCTAAAGGATCTTTTTGACTAGTTAAATTTTGTGAGGTCTGTGACAGCACTTTACAAAGAAGCGCCATCTATCGGATGGTAGCCCAACTGAACGAATTTTTTTGGTGGCGGCTACTATCCAATAGATGGCGCTGCATATCGGTAGCTACCATAAGGTCCACCATTTTGAATGACTACCTCGGGCTGCCAAAATCCGTTCAGTGATCCCCAAAGCAAGCAAGGAGGAGGACGCTTTGTTTTTCAACAAAGACAAATCTAAATACGTAATATTAGAATATAATAATTTAATTCAATCAAAAAATGGGGGATTTTAACCCCCCTCACGGAAATTGAAGATCCTTGATCATTGAAGATTCATTGCCATAGACCCATCCCGAACCCCGACCACCCAGCCCTAAAGGATCTATTTGACTAGTTAAATTTTGTGAGGTCTGTGATAGCACTTTGCAAAGAAGCGCCATCTATCGGATGGTAGCCCAACTGAACGAATTTTTTTTAATTAGGCTACTCTCCAATAGATGGCGCTGCATATCGGTAGCGACCACAAGGTCCACCGTTTTGAATGACTACCTTGGGCTGGTGAAATCCATTCTGTAGTCCCCATTTCAAGTAAGGAGGAGGACGCTTTGTTTTTCAACACAGCCATAATCAATACGTAATATTAGATATAATAAACTAATCCAAACAAAATAATCTTTTCATCAAAAAATGGGGGGATTTTAACCCCCCCCCATGGAAATTTAAGATTCCTGATAGCATAACTTTCTAACAGCTTAGGATTCTTCCTGGATCATACAGAGTTAAAACGCCTCGTGGAAAATAAAAAATAATATATTAGGTAAACATTATTTACATCATAAATACATTTCAATATTAATTACATATAAAGCTTCCAACTTTTAACTATAAACATTAAATATGATTACACATAACTGCAAAAAAAGGAATATTTTGGTAATATTTTTAAGTAAATGCTTAGAAATGCTTATCGGTAGACATGAATATTAACAACTCCATTTGGAATCTTTTTCATTGCATTCCAAGCCTCCATTTTGCTTTGATGGGATACATTCACATCATTGATGTATATTATCTCATCACCAACTTTCAGTTCACCATTCTTGTCTGCTGCTCCGCCTGAAACAAATGCATACATTCACACTAGTCAATATAAGACGACAAAAAATACTTTTTTCAACAACCGCCATGAAATTATTTGATGAATCATGTACCCATCATTTGAAGAACACCCTGTATGTATACTTACCAGTGAATATTTTCTTGACAATGAGTGGCATATCACCTTTGAAAGGATCTTTTCCACCCTCGATGCTGAACCCAAATCCAGAATCGTCTTTTAAGAAACTTATGACATTCGTCGGCTTTTTCGTGATAGCTTCTACATGGGGACCTGGAAAAATAAAACGCATTCTTTTATATTTATACCATATTAGATACCATGTTTCAAACGTGAATTCTATGTTTTAACGAGATGCTGCAATCAGTGTCGTTTCATAGGGTAAATGAAAACTTACCTGTAGCTTCTGGCAGACTGTAAATGGATGATACAGATGATGACCTTCTAGAAAGTCCACTAGATGGCACTGATTCGATACCCTCTCTTACTTGGAAAACAAATTTCTTAGTCTTCTCCTGAAAAGAGAAGATATTTAGTATAATGATTAACATTGATTTTGATTCAAAAGTTGTCGCTATACGGTTTTAGTAATAACAGCCTTAATTGCGTCTTATTTATCAGACAGAAGACAGTATGTTAGTTTTCAAAATTGTTTATCTAACAATCTACATATTAAGCACGGAGTTCCCCAAGGAAATGTCTTGGGACCGATTCTTTTTATGATTTACATCAATGATCTGCCAAACTGTAGCATCAATCAATATAATATATTATTGGCGGATGACACGACATCAATATCCACCAATAGTAACTTTGACCATCTATTACTCGATTCTGACAACATTCAAAACTGGTTTAATGCCAACAGTTTGTCAATCAACATAGCGAAAACTCAATCTCTTCTACTCAGTACTCGTCCACATAGAAGTAATTTAGTAGAACCCGCGAAATTTCTTGGAGTGATTATTGATGCAAGCTTAACTAGGGAATCACACATCACCTCTTTATCAAAGAAGTTATCTAAAATAACATTATGATACGTAGTTTAAATACCTACGTAACAAAATCGATTTCAATGAAAGCCTATTATGCATACGTAGTCATGCCATAAGTTCTGTCCCTCGTTTTCAAACAAGTGTAGACCTGTTAATACTTGTCCGATTGTTTACATTGTGGTGTCAGTTGATTAAGCGCTTTTCGGGTAATTACATATACCTCAGTTTGTATTGATCTCTCGAAGCATAACGATGGAGTGGGGCAAGGCAGAGAACCGTATTGCAGTGATAGCTTTACATAAGTGTAATCACAGTGCTAGTCAGATTTTTGAACTCTTACGCGGCCTTCAAATATCGCGTAAATTTGTGTCTAGGACCATTCAGCGGTACAATGAGACGTCCTCTGTTGATGACAGGCCAAGAAGCGGAAGACCTCGTCAAGTAAGGACTCCAGCAGCCATCAAAGCCGTAAAAGCCAGGATTCAAAGGAATCCACTCCGGAAGCAGAAGATCCTATCCAGGGAAATGAAGATTCCTGTCCGGACGATGTCGCGCATCATTAAACAAGACCTAGGGCTAGGGGCTTACCGGAGACGTACGGGACAGCGACTTACGGCCACCTTGCGATACATCAGGGCGACAAGATCCAAGAAGCTCTTGGAGAGGTACGCAGCTGGGGGATTCCGAAAGATTTTGTTCACGGATGAGAAAATCTTCACCATAGAAGAAAAATTCAACCGACAAAATGACAAAGTGTATGCAAGAAGTTCACAGGAAGCTTCGGAGATCATTCCGAGAGTTGAGAGAGGCCACCACCCTGCGTCAGTCATGGTTTGGTGGGGGGTGTCCTACGAAGGGGTCACTCAGCTCCATTTCTGTAAACAGGGCGTGAAAACAAAAGCGGCAAACTATCAGAGCGACATACTGGTTCCTATCGTCAAGCCTTTAAGTGGTACATTGTTTGCCAACCAACACTGGGTCTACCAGCAGGATTCCGCCCCCGCTCACAAGGCTAAGAGTACGCAGCGCTGGCTGGAAAGCAATGTGCCAGAGTTCATTGCTGCGGAAGATTGGCCCTCAGGGAGTCCGGACCTCAATCCTTTAGACTACAAGTTGTGGGACCTGCTAGAGCAGTTGGCCTGCTCCAAAGCCCACCGTAATATCGAGTCCCTGAAAGCGGATTTGATCCGATCAGCGGCAGCTATTCCTTTGGAAGCTGTGCGTGCAGTGATAGATGAGTGGCCCGCGAGATTGAAGCAGTGTGTGAAGGCCAAGGGGGGACATTTTGAATAAAACTGTTTGATTATGAATTCTAAAAATGTTGTCGAATAGATAATATCTTTCATATAAATATATCTTATCTTGTTTCATTTTTATCATGAGATTATCATGGGACAGAACTTATGGCACGACTACGTACTTGCAATACTGCATACTGATTTTATTATTCTCCAGACGTGGGTAAGGACTTCTGAGTACAAACATAAAAAAATGATTACTATTTCATAATTTCTGAACCATCTTATTTTATTGTTCATCTAAATTTTATACTAGTCTTTTTTACAATTTATTGCCACTTTGTGTTTTACGTCGTATTGTTTGTTTTTACTTATTCTTTTATGTTCTACTCTAACTGACCTGTGCAAATACATTTTTGCGTAATAGTACGAATAAATTATTATTATTTACCTTTAGCAGTTCTGTTGCCTCTGCAAGAGTTAGCCCTTTGGTGGATTTACCATTAATGGCCAAGATCTTATCTCCCTTTTTCAGTCTTCCATCAGAATACGCTACACTACCGTAACGAATACGGTGGACCTGCGAACAAACCCAAATAAGAAAAAACAGGAAAATGAATAGAAAAAGTGAAATATTTACTCACAGTGATTTCCTTATGTTCATCTGCTCCTCCAGTTAAAGCTACTCCTAAATTACTTTCAAGACTGTCAAGTGTGAGAACCATCGTAATGACATTTGTGTCTTGACAACTTGCTCTTTCAAATTTCTCCACCTTATCAACCAGGCCTCTTTCAAAAAGTTTCTTCGCTTTCACTTCGCTGGGTTTGATGTTCTCCACCGACTTGGCCTTCTTTATATCAGAACTGGAAGGAGATACCATATCAAGTAGAGTTACTCTGTGCAAAAGAATGGGGTTTTATTTATGCTCAGGCCAACATCAATAAATGGTGCATCCTTGGATAGGTTAAATTTGAAAAGTGCGAAGTAGTCATCCTTTTTGAGATAAATGCCCTAGAAGAAGGTATTGAAGACCTCATCAAAACATATTGAATGAGAATAGAACCTAAATTAATATTTTCAGTTCATGTTTCAGCTCAGGTTTTCTTACATCTACCGCTTTCCAAAGTAGTGTTTCAAAAACAATCAAAACTATTCTAACAGCTCATATTTTGTTTTATTTTAGGAGCTTTATATGAAGATATCTCGTCTTGTTACCAAAATTCAGTGTGTACAAAATATTCCCAGAGATTGTTTATTACAAATACCTCCAAAATAACGAGCATGATTTTAACGTTTTAGCTTTTTCAATGAAGAAATCAACTGATGATAGGTTGAAAGAACCTTTCTAGAGGACACTTTTAATTCTGAAATTTGCATATTTAGGTTACTGTTTGACAAACGGATATTTTTGCTACAAAACTATTAGAAGGCATCCCTTCAAAAATGGAACTTTTTAAGCTTAAGAAACATATCCAAAACTACATAATATAATTATAAGCTGTTGGGCATATTCAAAAATCCATAGACATCTATGGTTTATATTAATTCACTACTTGGTCGGTAATGTAGGAATCGGTAAGATCCGTGGCATCTATAAGTGAGAAGCGAAACTATGCTTTACATTCACGCCTACTTTGCCGGTAATGTAGGAATCGCTAAGATTAGCGACATCTATAAGTGAGAAGCTAAACTATCATTTGCATTCACGCCTACTATTCAACCGGTAATGTAGGAATCTCTAAAATCAGCGACATCTATAAATGAAAAACTGAACTATGCTTTACTGTCGGTAATGTAGGAATCGGTAAAATTAGCGATATCTATGTGTGAGGAGCTAAACTATGCTTTACATTTACTACCACTTGGTCGGTAAGATAGGAATCGATATGTCTAGTGACATTATATAAATATAAAACAAATAATACAATGACTTTTAAGCAGTGAGAATTTTTAGTTGATCATATCTACTAAATTCTTGCATTTGAATGTTTCATAATGAATATATTTTAAACGTTCATCAAAATTTCAATATCATCATCATAGTCTGACATCTTGACATTTTCACATTTATGAGCAATTTGATATTTGATTTTTTCAACTTATGTTGTAGAAATTAGGATTCTGTTTGTGGTGAGATCTGTAATGCTTCACTGAACTGTATTTCCAACATTGTAAACATCATAATTGCGATAATTACGAACCTTGGCCTTCTAAAGAGCAATCAAGAACTAAAATAAGAAAAAGCCATTAAAGTTTAGGTATTTTCGCTAGATGCGATTTGAGATATTTTGAGTGCCTTATGAACTCTGATCCTTTTTGTAATCCAGACAAAAAACAGCAATCTTACCTGGTTTGTGGACTAGAAGGAGTATCGTGTTCAATAGTAGACACTTCAGCTCTGATACTCTTTTTGACTACAGGCAGTTTGTAGTTTGGAACTTTATGAGGCATAGGAGGTGGTGCAGAACCAAAGTTTTCGAAGTTCTCCATAAGTACTTTCACGTTGATAGGCTTGTGATTGCGATTCAGAATGCTACTGGAACCGTACAAGTCTTTCGCGAATCTGTTTTTTCTATCGTCGTTTACGACATTCGGACTTCTCAGGTCCAAAGAGCTCCTCGAAATTGGTCTTGAATATGAAATTTTCGCTGCAAAAAGACCATTTGTTATATATCTATAAATAGAAATGTGAATGTCTGTCACCACCACGACTCAAACACAATATGAAGAGACGTAAAAATTTGTAGACTTTGAGCCAGAATCGAAAATGGAAAGGTCAGGTCATCAACAAATTGTATGAAATGAAGAATTGTAACAAGGCTGTGCTATTTGAAGGCAGAAAGTAGCAAGATTTATATACGTGGCTTGCCAATGTGGTGTTCAAAAACTACCGATAGATCAAAATACCTCGATTTCCTAGATAAATATGTCGTTGAAAGAAGTTGTAAGGTTTGAAAAGATTCATCCATTCGTGATATTGAACGTGATCTTGACGACGACCTTCAAGGTCATCTGAACGTCAAGAGAGCTTTCTTAAATGTAACTCCTATTTTTGACACCGGAAATGGAAGGCGCGGGAGATTTTAGCTAAAGTTTGTCTGTCCACGACCTTGGCGATGATCTTCATGGGTATTTGAGGGTGTCCAGAAAGTAGGGAAATGACTAAATACATCGAAAAATATGTATCATAGAGGAAAAGTTGTGTAATAAAGTTGTAAGGTTTGAAAGGATTAATTTAATTGTGACCTCGAACGTGATCTTGATTACGACCTTCAAGCTTATTTGAATGTCAAGCTATTTTCTCAGGTACATTAATCTGACCAAAATCCTCAAGGTCATTTTAAGATCAGATATATTTTCAGGCATATTTTTTGACCTGTTGTTGGGGATATAAAAAAGCGAAACATTAGAAATTAATTTATCGTTGCATTGAAATGTTGGATAAAAAATGTTCATTGCTAAAGTACCTATTGCACTGCTTTGGATATTGCTGTTTTTTCCGGAACCACTCTCGTTCTCACTAATGGCCACCAACATTCTGCGATTTGACTCCATTTGATCTATTCATGTGGGCTTTTCTGAAGCCTTAGTGTTAGTAATCTGCAAACCAACTTATGCTTTCAGAGCAAAGGCTGCTTTGTAAAGGCTAAGCTAAACAGGTTTTCAGCTTTGGACTTCAATCGTTAAGTTTTAGATTATATTTTGCGTTCGTCTACTCAAACTTACAATCCGCACTGTGGAGCAATAATGGTAATTACCTATTTACCTTATCAATAAAAGACACGATCTAAACTGAACGTTGATTTACTATATCTGTTGGTACCAGCGTGTTATGACTCAATGTTTGATAAACATTACTTTGTCATGTGTATGTATTTTCTTTTTAATCGAGAGTTTCATACCTGACAATTTAAAAAATCCAGCTGATATGCAAATATCTACTATTCAAATATTTTCATGATTCAAATGAACTTTGCTATAATGAGTCATGAAATTAACTCATTTACGATACTCTTGAGCAGTTCTAATTCTAATACAAGAGTCAACAACTTTTTCATATACAGCAGAGAATTCAGAAGATGAATCTTGCAATTAGAGGCATTCCGGCCACCATAAGGAGCCAATGCATAGGCAGCTTAAGCGGGCCCTTGTGCACCTCTACATTCCTTAGATCACAAGCCTCAACGGATGATTTTTTAAACGAAACCTTTCCGCATACAACCTGCATGCTGCCGCTGCATTTTGTTGGCATTCTCCGTATGTTAGTATTATGTCCACTAGTTCATTGTTTTCGTAAACATGGGCCATTTTTCCCACAAAATAATCAGACAAATGAAAGTATACGCACTATTAAAAGACGATACAACTGATCGAACCATAGACTCGTACTGAAAACCATACAATAACACTAAAAGTTTGCCAAATTTAGATAAACGATAAGGCTAGTAAAGAAATAACGGCAGTGGTCGAGAATATCAAAAAATTTGTATAATAAAATTATTTTGCAATATCTTTTACTATTTCTTTTATTACGCAACTTTTATAAATGGTAATATTTGGTATGTTAACTGCTTTTGACGAATCCTACAAGCAGTTAAAATAAATGACTCACCTTTGCAAGCACCCTGTATAAGACTAATTTATAACCAAATAACAACTATATAAACTCACCGTTTTCAACGACTGGTGTTTTCGGTTCAACTTGTTTAACCTCCTTAACCTTATTTTGCAGCAGCTTCACTTCTACAGGTTTTTGAATATCGATCACTTTTTCAGTCTCGGTGGCGATTTTAACTTCTTTTTCCACCGGTTCGATAGGCTGTTCAATTGATTCAACAGCTTCAATTGCTTCAGCAGTATCGACAGTTTCAACCAGTTCAACTGGCTCAGTCTCAGTTGGTTCATCATCAGGCGGCTTATCGGGTGGTGTCTCAGTAGTTCCTACAAGAAATCCAGTGTCGAAAAAAGATGTTTACATTTTTTGTGAAATTATTACCGTTAGATTCACCATACTTCATTTTCTTTAATGACAAAGATTTGTATCTCAACTCTAATCCTTAATATAAAAATGCGAATCTGATTGTGTAAAAATATATGGGATGTTCCACATAAAATGTTTGAGAAAAACGGCGTTTTGAAGCACCCTGATACAGTTGGCGTACTTTTTCACTCTCTTCCCAAAATTCAGTGAAAAACTACGCAAAATGGCAGAAGTCAAAGCCTTCAATGACAAGCATTTTTTCACACAAATAATAAAATAACCAAACAAATTACGATCAAAATCCTAAGTACCTTATATCAACCTTCTTGTCTTTCAAAATATCCAATATAATGTGTCCCAACGAAATTGTGAATTGTGAAACACGCTGTATATATCTAAATAATTTAGAGATACACACCAATAAGATGTTAAGCTTGGTGTGCAAAGTGTTTTCCAATATCTTATCTGGCTGTTCTATTAAGCAACTTTGCATTTTCGTTGGGACACTCTGTATATACTGTAAGTGTTCACGTGATTTTCAGTATGTCGATAAGTTCCCTGACTACATTAAAGACGAGTTAGTTTCCATAAAATTGTGCAGGCAGGTGTACCCACAGAGGCTTTGTGCACATTGGAACATTTGTTCAGTACATTGATCATTATATAAATTTTCTTTAAAATTGAACTGTGGTCAAACTCCATATGTTTTGTGTTTGGTACTCCAGTATGGTGAATATATAGGCAATGATTTGACTCAAAGACATCGGCCGTTTTGCGGCCCATTTTCTACCTGAGATACGAAACGTAACCAACCGGAATATTACCTTCAACAGAACCAGTTTCAGCCTCTTCCGTCTTCCTTTTTATCACTGGCGATCCGATTTTGAAATCTTTGCCGCTTCTGCATTTTGCAGAGGCTAGTATATTCTTTCTGTTAATAGCTTCTATGCTAAACGGTTTCAGTAATCTGTTTGGGCCGTTGCTATCATCGTCGTCAGACCTTTTCAAGAAACTATCTTCGCAAGATTTTGTAGGAGACGGTGGAGGAGAAAACCTAAAATTAAAAATGAGGTTAAAGCAAAAGTCTGCAATCGGTACTTCACTGCAGAAGTATGTATGGTTAACACAGGATTGCCTTAGGAAGTTATTTTGACTGATTATATATTACACAGGGTGTTGGGGAAAAATATTCGTAACTTTAAGAGGTGATATTCCTTGCATTATTCTAAGAAAAAAAGTTCATTATAACCTTTGTCCGAAAATCAACCGTTTCGGAGCAAAAAAATGCTTGTTTCTTTTTAGTCATAAAATAAATTAAATTTAAATTCATATGCCTAATAGCGTAAAATGTATCTATTTATTAATTAACTATAACAAAATAATTTTCTTGCTTATTAAATACAATTTTCCGAAGAAAAACAGACAAACAAAATCCCTCACACAACTGGCAACATCGCACTCCGCCAGCACTGCATGGATCATCGCGTGTTGTGATTACTAATACATTTAACTGTAACTTTATGTGATTTACGGATGTTGGTTTTTTTCTTTTTCAAATAAGTGACTGATAATCGTGGGAATTGGTGGTGTCTATCGCCACGTACCGGTAAGTTCTGTCATTTTTTTTAAGTAAATGAACTGTACTGAAAGCGTTATTAAATAAAAAATATTAGCCACAAACAATTGGGTAAAAGTATTAAATAATTCAAGGCATATTTTCAACAAAAATATCATACAAACGTAAACAATTCGATGAATCAGTTGCGTTCGTCGTGCGCTCGTATTGGGGGTTGCGTTGCAGCGTTGCCAAATGTTTGAGAAAAGTTAATTATTTACGACTCACTTTCCTCGAAAGCGATTGATTTTCGGACATAAGTTATAATGAACTTTTTTGCTTAGAATAATGCAAGGAATCACCTCGGGGTTAGGATAGTTCTACTTTTCAAAGACTGATAACAGTACGACGAACTTAATCGGCACCTAAGAGCAGAGGAAGCCTCCATAAAGGAGTAATATTTACCTGGAATTGTAGCTGAACTGACTGGAGCTAACCGCCGAATCGTTATCACTTTCATCTTCTTTGATGCTCTTCTGAGTGGAATCGCCATTTTTATCACCAGTTTTCTTCTGGAAGCAAGTATAATCGAAACTGCAGTCTGATCTAGTCGGCGAGGAGATGCTTTCTAAAGATTTAGGCGGATTAATATCTTCATCACTTTGTTTCCTTGGGCAAGGGTTCGGACTCGACTTATCACAATATTCAGGCACAAATTCGTACGTTTCGTTAGTTACCATTTTGGGATACACCTGCAACAGAAAAAAATTCTTCAATCTGGAAACAGCTTATGTTGATAAATAATGTAGCCCGGCATGATGTCTTTAACTGGAGCAATTTACATTCTATATTAATAACAATCAATGCATCCTTAATAAATCTTCAATATGAAAATGACTAACGGTCCGTTAAAAAGCCGATAACTTCTCTACGGCAAAGAGAAAAGAAATGTCGCATAGCCCATTTTGTACATCTCGATGAATACTATAAATTACAGAGAAAGAGTTTTTTCCGTTTAGGGCACCCATTACGAATAAACAATTTTCAAACGTCACAATATTCGCCTTTTTGGGTCTCGAACGTGCGGTTCGATATTCAATTTCTATCTCCTCCGATGATAACGGAGCTACGAACCTAACGATTTTTGCGTGAGAAAGCCCGGACATCGGACATTTGGATAGCGTCTTTTTTTATTTCTTTATTCCTTTTAGTTCAAAAGTTTCGATTTTTTAAAATTCCTCGTCTATACGCTAGCCATTCGAAGGACATGTGGATATTTTCATACGTGTCCCCCATTTTTCATATCGGAAGTGAAAAGAGAATGAAATTTTATGTCCGAAAATCACCTTGCCACTAGGTCAAAACAAGGCATCCGCATCCTCAATTTGCTTTAACAAAAGTGTTCGGCAGCACAATGAGGGCTGTGGTAACCATAATAAGGTGGCCTTAGCAATGACCTTGAAACTGACCTCTAAGTTTGAATTACCTAAAAAAGACGCTTTTTTAAGCCGAAATGTGACCTTGACCTCAAATAAAATTAAAGCTTGACACGACCTTGAATTTAAGGTCAAAGTCACGCTTAAACGTGAACTTTCCTGCTTTTTGTAGTAACTATATTAAGAGCTGTGCTCGGCATTACTTATCTCTGAATAGTTTTCAAACATTCCGAAATATAAAGTTCAGTTGTCAAATATACAATTTTAAATGTCATTCACTTTTTTATTATCATTAGATACTTAGGAAGAGTACAGCTACTTCTCATTGGAATATTGCGATCAATGATGATGATTTCTTAAGTTCGTAGTAAAAAAAATTAATGCTCCTACTGACCTGTAGACTTTTCCTCTTGAACGCAGGAGAGTACTTGGGTATGTTGCTAGGACTGTCAGCCGACCAGGGTGGCGTAAGTATGGAATACTTCAATGGATCGCCGAGGTCAGTATTATCTGTGAACACCTTCTGTGGACTGCTGGCACAATTCGTTTCTTTTGGCACTTGTACAAGACTTGCTGTGTGGCTTTTGATTTCGGGTATGTTTACAGAAGAATTCACAGCTGGAACATCGCTTTCACTTGCCTCCGGAATCACAAGGCCTTTCAATTTTGAGATACCTACGGAAGTTACAGAAATATATGGTAAACAGCATATTTGCAAAATGTTGCATACTTATATTTTTTAACAAAAGAGTGTCACTATAGAAAAGTACCCTAAAGCGAATCCTTCTTCTGAACCACTCTGGTCTCAAAATGGCTTTGTTAAGTGCAAGTAACTGTTTGTTTCGTGCTTTATAGCATCTCGTCAGCATCATTTCAAGCCTTACAATTTTGTTCTACTACATTTTTCTCTAGGTAACTTATTTTTCGAGATATTTTGATTTATCTATTTTTTGAACACCCTGTATATTTCCGCGGATAATACCATGCCTATAGCCTTTCTCGAGTTTCAAGTAGTACCGATTTTGTCCTTGAATCCACCGAATTTCAACGATACTATCTATCGATTTCGAATTTGTTTTATTTGGCAACGCTGCATACATCATTTGAGATGAAAGAAATACGGCTCATCCGTTGTACAAATAAATATCAGTTGAGGCCATTAGCAGACCAAAAATTAATCAAGTATCAACTAATTTGGAAATGCTTGAAAAATAGGTCAAGCATTAACTTTTCAAGTAATTTTATTTTCAAGTCAAGTAGGTCATGAAAATATCAAGCAACTCGACTTGTTGAATCACTAATACAGATAGAGAAATAGCTGTAACAAATTCTCATAGATGACGCCACGGTATCCCATTTTATCTTAAATAATTCTAGGCAATAACTAACAGTAAAAAATAATAAATACCCCGTTTTCGCTGTTCAATTAGTTGATTCCACTTGGCATTTTTCTCCTTGGACAATGTTGACATATTAATCAAGCTCTGCGACCTCCTGTGCAGGTAGACTGGATCAGGTATGGAATCATCTGAACTGACGTTTTCGCTGGAATCATACAGCTTAGCACGTAGATCTGTATTCGAGGCGCTTCCGACTTGCGTTAAATTCGTGGTGTTGGTTGGCGAGTCTTCTACTAGTTTCGCGGCCTGGGGATGTTTATACTCGGCCGTGAAGGTGGTGAACGTGGGTTCTCTCTTCGTCTCTTTAAAATAGTTGTTCGAAATGTCGGTGTCTTCGATGAAATCCGGAAACTCGTGACCATCTGGTGGCTGTCTAGAGTCTGTCGGGGGGGTAGACATGATGCCATCTGACTCTGAAACAGAACGATTCCTACATTATTTCACCCTCGAACTCACGGCATTCGGAATATGCAGTAGCGTAGGTTTATTTTTACTTTTCAAGCTGTCGTCATCAAATTTCATACGTTTCAGAAAACTAGAAAATTTTTGCACGCTGTATTTGCGATGGTATATCTGTCAATTTATGAGCCTCTGTTTGTGTTTTGTCACCGCGTAATCCCAGTAATAGTTGTCCAGTTCAGGATGTATGAAGTTCGCGGGTCTGTTTGGCACATCATGGAAGAGGGCTCTGATGAGCAAAGACCATTGACATAGCTGTAGAAGAGAGCGAATTTACAGATGGCTCGTCGGTGCGAAAGGGTCCCGAGACTAAAACCGAAAATTTGCTCGACACAAATTACTCCAGTAGCGTGGACACCGGAATATATTTACCCTACATGAAACATGGCGTCAAGTACGTTGACTCTGCACTTCCTATGCAATTCCGTCATCAGTTCATGAATATTTAGTAGTCCATAGACATTATTTCCCTGCCCTACCGGTAGTTACCGCTATCTGGCAACGTTGCCCTTTCCCATATTACCGGGGTTTGGAGCGCATAAATTACTAATATCAAAGAATTGAGATATATCCTTCCTCACCCACCTAATTTTTTACCCCCAAATTTTTTTCAAAACTAATCAGGAATCTCTACAAAAATGAGTGGAATTGTTCCTAGTAATGTAAAAAACATAATAACCCATTTACGAAATTTTTCGCGATTACAATACCTCTTCGCCCAGTGGCGTGGAAACTAAAAGGAAAACATTTTATACACCAATGAGGTTTTCGAACATCAATGAGGAATTCGCCCGACATATGGAATACTTTAGAATAGCTCCTTTCAGTACTTTTGTGAAAGTCACTGTTACCTATTATGGGCCAATTGTGTACCATCGTCCAAGTTGTATCAAAATCCAAGCAGTCGTTATTGCGATTAAAATGCAATAAAAGTATTATCAGAGAAACGAACAGACCGACAATAATTAGCAACATCGACTTCTGTCAAAAATAATAAACGATGTTATAACAATTCGAGAAAACTGAACACTGCTGCTGCTAAACACAATCGTTATGCGTTTAACTACTATGTAATACACTTGAAGGAAGATTGACATATCGCTTATTATCGCTCGTTATACAATTGAAAAATGAACATATTCCGATTAGCAAACAAACAAAATCATCTCAAAAAGAATTTGTATGGGTGGCAAATTTTTTACTGGCCCTGCAATCATCAAGATACTCGACGGGGAACATGCAGCCATTGTTGCCGTTTACACTGATTTACATTCCTTATATGATTGTCGAGTTATATTATTATATATATATTCATCTTTTTCTGAACATAATCGGGAAATCGGGTGTGAACAAACACATTGGCCCTTACTTGAAATCAAGTAGTTTTTACCTAATCATATTCTTTCAAGTTAACAGATTGGTCTGCAACATGAATTTTGAATTTGCTTGATCTAACAATGGATGTTAAATAATGTCGAAGTATGTAGTTTTTGAAACAACCAATGACACACAGAGAATTTTTTTACTTTTGTAATCGAGAATTTGTTTGTTCAAGTACACTTTCCGAAGTACTAAAAAACGACTTTTTGTAACACTGTTCACATGAAGAGTAAAATTTATACATTCATAAAGAGATATGCATAGATTTTTTACAGTTTCACATACTTGTATAATTTCACCATTTAATGATATAGTCGGATATTTCTTCATCTGATTTCTAAATTTTTTAGGAGAGAATATAATAAATTTAGATTTTTCTCTAATTTGAGCCTCAGCAATTATTATATTGCCAGTGTTAAAATTATTGTATAACTGCAAGTCATCGACAAAAAACTGACTATTGCAATGTTTAACAACCTTATCAAGATCGGAGATATATAAAATAAAAAGAAGTGGTCCAAGAACCGACCCTTGAGGCTGATAGAAAAACATGGAAAATTCTGAATTAGATTTTCATACGCTAACTACGAGTTAAGGTACAAGAGAGTCCTAACGGTTTTATCGCTGGTTTCCGTAATGGACAGTGCATAAAAAATTCTTTTTCAATGGACCCTGAAGTAGTTTGAAATTAATTGACCTCAAGTCAAGTAGAACAATAATCAAGCCACGTGACGTATTTTCAAGTCCAATAGCATCTAAAAATATCAAGCTACTTGATTTGATGAATCCCTAAGCTTGACCCTTCCAAAAAATAACTAGGGGGGACCATTTGAAAAGCACTGTCGATTGTTTTTTCTCAATCAAATAAGTCTCATCCGTATTAACTTTCTAATTTGTTCGTAGTTGACTTTGACGAAGAAAGTTCAGAGTCAACCTACTTGACGCCATTTTTCACTTGTCAAATGCGACCATAATCCTCCGCCAATGACTTACTATAAAGTGGAAGTAACTGCAAATGCCAATATGGGTCATGAAATCTAAAATCTACCCTGCAGGCACATATTTTCATATTTCATACGCTTGGACAACGGCGCTCCTATCTCTTCAGTTTAAATTATGAGAATTGCCCATAATTAACTTATTTACACCTGTTACCGTTCAATATACAGTAGTGCACAGAAATATGTATAATAACCCTATCAAACTAGCTAAGCTCTTGAAAATTTCCAGTTCTCACTCTAGGCATAATGAACAGATTAAAGCAGCTCTTCATAACGATGATCAAGTACCAATTGTAGCTACAAAACACAACTACCGCTTAGTGATTTTTTTATTTTGTAAGAAAAAACGATATCATCGATATGGATGAAAAGTTGATTGTTTTAAATAAATCTATATCTAGAAAATCTTTGTAATAAATCCATTATTACTGGGTGTTCTTTTTTCTATGTCACTCAGTATATACTAACATTCCATTAAAATAGCGTAAATGTATCTTACATGGAACCTTTATCTTCCTATGTAAATACATACCTATAGTTGTCAAGGTTTTATACACTTCGATGCATTTTTATCTTTATATGCATAAATTATAGATGGATTTTCATGTTGACTGTACGACATTAAATAAGGTACGATATTACCAGCGATTTGTGGATCATCGAATATCACGAAAAAAGTGGCGTCAAGTAGGTTGACTCTGCACTTCCTACGCAACGCCGTCATCAGTTCATAAAGGACTATGTTCAGCACAAGTTAGACCCTATCGAAATAAGACTATATCATGGATAATGTATAACAGGGAAATTAAACGGATCAAGTCCGTCAAACAGGTCCATACAATCAGTCTACAATCTCGCGATGATCACTGTTTTGGTTTAGTCTCTTTTTTCGATACATACATAATAATAGGTGCGTATAATTACTGAGGTTGACAGTGTATTAATACACTGATACCCCCCCCCCAATTTGTTACCCCTAAAAAACGGCAAAAAACTTTTAAGATATTTTTATTTAAAACTAGAAAGCCTTTTCGTCCTTGGTATAGTAATAACCCTGAGTTATAGACGGGGCAATAATTTGTGGACAGACATATAAAACAATATTTCATTTTCAAAATTACAATTACAATACCTCGTCGCCAAGTAAAATGATGTCAAGTAGATAGACTCGTAATTTCTCATGCATTGATATAGATGTATTCAAAATTTTGGGTACATGAAAATTTCAGGTGCCATTGTTGATAAATAAAATGACGTTTTATGATATGACATGACTTTTTTTTCACTCTGAATTTTCCTTTTGTCCTAAAGCGATCATTTTTACCGTGAAAATCACAACCATCGGATCTTTATTCATGGTAGTAACAAATTAAACCGAAATCATAAAAACAAATCACTTCAATTTTACTTCCTACGCCACTGAGCGAGGCAGTCTGTCTGTTTGTCTGTCTGTCCGGTAATCCTTGGTTCCTCTAGTACTTCTCGGATTTGGATAAAGTTTTTACACAAAGTTACTTCTATACGAAGGACGAAATACTAGTTTTTCAAAATCGGTCTAGTGGCGGTGGAGGAAAAGGCGAAAAATGAAAATCCTAAGCATCGCTCCGAAGTTGTTTTTTGACGTTTGGGAGGATCCTATCATTTTTGAAAAAAAAAGTGTGAAAAATTAGGAGGTAGAAGAGAGCATGTCTCAAGTTTGTTATGTTAGTATATTTATATCCTATCAATTAAAAATATTTTAGTTTTCAAAATTAACTACATTTTTCCATAGCTCAACTTCTGCAGTTTTTGAGCGAAATAATGTATATGGGCTAATTGCATGTCCCTGTTTGACTCACTAACTGACAAACTATTTTTTTTCTCAGAGTATTTAACTTGTGCTGAACTCAATCCCTTATGAACTGATGACGGCGTTGCATAGGAAGAGCAGAGTCAACCTACTAGACGCCATTTTTTCCTTGTCGCTAAAAATAAGAATGATCCATCTGCCCTCAATTGTGAGGAGCAGTTTACATTTGAAAGGATCACGCCCACTGTAGAAAACCCATGTTTTTGTTCACCTTTACCGGAATGCACTCGCTGACAACCGAGCGTAATATTTTTTAATGTGCTCGTGATTTCATAATTATCCGCGGTAAATGCATAACGTTTGCATTTGAAATATAAATAGAGGATATTTCATCAATGGAGTGCTGCTATTAAAATGTTGAAATTACACGGACAAATCTTGATAAGAGAGATATTTGATTAAGAAACTATTTTCGCTACCCGGTAGTAGCTCATTTTACGCTCTTAACCTCAAACGGTATATTTTTTTGCGATGAAAATGTGTTTACTTCCTTAATGACGAAACATTAACTTCATGCTCACCTAACGATACTTATTCTGTTTTTATTAAAACCGCATCAGGCAGTAAGCCAATGATACACCCGAATCTCCTTCCCGCGCGCCAAACACATTATCCCGCAGTTCACTCTCTGATTTGGATGGTAGGTATGAATCACTAGGGCGTAGGTTACATACAGTAGAACCCCGATCATCAGAAACAGATCGCATACAATAATTTCTCCGTTTTAACCTTTCGGCGTTTGCGTCGTTAGATTCGCTGCCGGTGATTCACCAAGCGCGTTTGCGGAATTCGCTGGTATGTGTGCGTGTATGTTTGTTTCAGTCAGGTTCATAATCGCTAAGATGGAGCAGCATAGAAATAAGCGTAGACGCGTTGTTATTACCATAGAACAGGAACTTGAGGCGATCAGACGTTTAGATAGAGGTGATTTGCTTAAAAACGTGGCAAGTGATTTGGGTGTGGGCGCGAGTACCATTTCAGAATGGAAAAAACAACGCGAGAAAATTGGAAAGTCGTCACGGAAACTATGAGAAAAGGGGAATATCAAAAAGCGGATGATGCTTTATATCTGTGGCTTACACCGAATCGAGAACGTGAATACCAATTTCCGGACCAATTCTGAAGCAAAAGACAGTCAACTTAAGTGAAGAATTGCCAGTTATTGAGGCGCCTGATAACAGGAGCAACTCAAAAGTGGAGAAATACGAGTGATGTTTTTCCTCCTAATGTAACGTCACTGAATCAGTCAATGGATCAAGGAGTTTTAGAAAATTTAAAACGCAATTACAGACGTTTGTTACGAAGGATGTTTTTTAAGTTTTGGGTGCACCAAAAACGGCAGTCACCCAGGAAAACGTCGATGCTGTGCACAAACTCATCATTGAAGATAGACGTGTGACATATCGCGAGACTGAGGCGTCCTTGAAGATATCAAAGACCTCAATTCAAAATATTTTACATGAAGAATTAGGAGTAAAAAAATTAGTTTCTCGTTGGATACCCCACCTGTTTACTGAAGAGCACATCCCTCGTATTAGAGCAAATTTTAGATCAAGTTGATAACGGTTGTAAACTCGTTGATTGTTTAAAAGATATTAACCTCAAGATTGTGGCATATTGGATAGCAGAAGCATAGTGCAAAGTAAAAAATTCTACTTTATAAAAATCTTGGTCGACAATAATTAAGCAAGAAATGGAACCTTACGCAGACTATGAGAACAACGAGAATTTGCATGAGCTCGTCGTAAAAATAGCAGGATGTGAAAATCTTGCCAAAGCAGATATTGGTGAGTGGATTAATGGTGATGAATTGGTAGAAGAATTAACTGATACAGAA